ACATCCGTCCCCCCGCCATTCCACGGCCCCCACCCACCATGAATCCTTATAAACTCCATCCCGTAAATGCAAGAGACCAAAGCCAAAGACACCAGAATGATGAAAAAGAGAGAGAGAGAGAGTAAAAAGGGAAATGAGAAGCCCCGCTTACGGAAAAAAACGAAAATAGATCTGAAAGTAAACGCATCGCAAAGCAGGAAAAACCCCGATTTTTCGCAAACCGAAAAACAAATCCCCATCATGTAACACCTAAAAACCCGACTGACTCTTTCCAGCAAAATTGAGCTGTCCTGAAACCTTTGTTTACTTACCAGTGGCAAAACTGGCAATCTGTTTTTTGACGAATAGAGACCCGGGTATCGTTTTATCCATGCCTGAACCAGAGATGAAATTTCTCGCGCTTGCGCGCCGCGTCGTGGAGAGTTAATGTTGTATGTTACAGGGAGAATTAAGGGAGTGTATTTTGATTATATTCCTTGATGATTTCCCGAAGATTCGACAACATTGTCCGACAAGTTGATCAAAAGTTGTGCGAGGCAGCGCTTGGTTGCAGCATCATCACGGAGGACCGAGGAGAAAGTAGCATCCCGGAGTGGTTCAGGAAGGCATTGTCGTAAGGCTTCACGAGCTCGGGCATTGTCACTAAGGCTATTTCGAGTTAGTTTTGCCTACAACGGTTGCATTTCATCGGTGACATACCGTAAAAAGCAGCGCACGACATGCTTCAAAAGCCTTGCGGTCTGCTGTTCTACCAGTTGTGATACCATATTGCTGAGCACTGTGCCGACTGCATAGAACCGCTCATACGTGGCACAGATATAGTTGAGTCCATGGTCATCGAGAAGGATCTTCTGAACGATGAAGATGGCCACTGTCTTGCTCAGCTCGGAACCCGTCTCCATAATTCGAAGGCACAAAGGAATGATTTCGGTTGTGAGGAGGAAGTTGATGACGTCCGAAGAATCATTCTTGACAAGGGCACCGATGACACCGAGGGATGTCAATCGGAGGTATTCGAAGGGTCTTGACTTCGAAGTGGTATTGAGGAAGGGGTAGAGAAACAAGGGAATGTGTGCTGAAGATTGTATTAGCAAGATATCCTGATTTCTGTGTGCTCATGCGCGTGTCCATACCATTCAAAAAGAGTGCTCTGGTTTCATTGTGCGAAGCAACACACTGCAGAAGTGCCAACGCATTGCAGACTCGGTTGGATGCGGCAGCTGTGAGTTGAGAGGGATTGAGTAGTGTGTAGACAGAAATGATTTCTTGAAGGAGCGAAGTCATGACGCCTAAAGAATGTTAGTACCTAGAAAGGCATGCCAGTCGTACAACCCTACCAAATGAATGCCAAAGAATCAACGCGAGCTCTGGAACTTGCTCACGCTTCTTGCTCAGTTCGAGCAGAGCCGCCTCTCTTGTATCCTCCTGTAACAAATCCGATATAAAGTTCAGTGTCCTCCTATTCTCTTCCGTCACATTGTCGATAACTGGTTCCGGTCCATGTTGATTTACTGCCAGCGGGGCAGCGGCATTATGGCTGGCAGCAACACGGTTAAAGTGTTGTTGCTGAGCGGCAGCAACCTGCTGCTGGGCATGCTGATGGTGACTCTGCTGGTGCATCCATGATTGCTCGGGCTGAGGGTTATAGGAATGCTGGTGAGAGTAGACGTGAGATCCTTGGATCATCGTGTGGTTCGAGCTGGTGCCAGCGAGAGGACTCGGTGGCAGAGGGGGTTCTCGGTGAAGCTATCGCAGGGTTGCGGAGGTGCGTTGCGGTACCCAGGTGGTTCTGGCTTTGGACTCTGGAGATCTACGAGTAGATGGGACTGGACTGCGGTCTCACACGGGGCTTGATTGCCTCTCTTGCAATCAGGTTGCCCGGCAGAGATATTCTGGAACTGGGAATGGGAATGGACTTGGGAATAGTGGATAGATGGATGTATGAGCTAAGAGTCCTCGGCTGGATTTGGGCGACGGTCGGGAGTGGAGGGAGAGGGTTAAGATACTTGGAGGGTGCAGGTGGTTTGCGACTGCTGCTGGTAAATCGGTCGGCGCTGATGTTTGTTAGGTCGGGGGTGGGGGCGCCTAAGGTACAACACCACAAGGCTTGCGAGGCTTGGCAACTGAGAAGAGTAAGCGCGGCTCCAGCCAACCTTAACTTTGACGCTTGCAGAGGATCAACACCCGCCTCGCTAGCAGTAAGTATTCCTGAGAGACCACAGATCCATCCCAGAATTCAAGTAAATATGCCGAGACGAAGTAGATAAATGTGAAGAGTGAAGTGTGTTCACCTACGCGTGAAGGACCTCAGTTTCAGCCTCAAGAGTCAAGACTTCCAAGTCATAACCGATAACCCCTTTCAACAATCGCTATCACTCTCTTCGAAGATCTGGTCAGTGTGTCAAGACCATCTCATGCAAACTCGAAGGGCGTGAAATTCTAGAAATCTATCTTCGAATCTCAAGCAACAGCGTAGAGGAAAGAAGCACTGACTATTAGGTGTCAGGTGGTCTTTGCAGTGTCGTTATCTTGCCCGATCCAAGTATCCCTGTCTCAAAACTCAAAACGCTTCTCGTGCTATTTATATAGAAAAAAGGCATAATAAAAAGGGGCTAAGGCAACCAAGTTCTAGAACCCTCGCTTGAAGTTCCAACGTCATACGAGTATACCCTCGAGAGATACTGAATCATCGCTCACAGAAGACTCCGAAGGGGTTTCCTCTCCGAGGAGGGGTAAACGGTAAAGTGACTCAACAACCCGAGATACCCCGCGGAGACAGATCAAGTCGTCAACTTCATGCAAACATCATGTCTGATGTGAAATGGTAAATGAAATCTGGGAGAACCGGACTCTTCTTCATCAGAACATATAGAAGCTTGCTTTACTTATACGATATAGCCATCTAGCGACGTAACTCATTCATCAAGCGAGTCTCACAAAATCAGAATGTAAACAATCTCTTCTCTACTCATATGCATTCACCCATGCCTATATTCTCCCATCAAAAATTCCCAGATCAATCCCAACAATCCACCACCCACCCATCATTCACCAATCCCCATCCCCATTCACCATCAACCCCCCGAGGAAGAATAACCCATCAAACCCACCAATGTCCTTGTTTCGCACCGGCACACCTTGGAGCTGAGTTTCTAACATCCTACAAGTCCTCCTTCCCACATCCTCAAATTACACACCAAGAATTAAAATAAAAAAATAAAAAACGGGAAACCCATCTCTTCTCGCATATAACGCTTGCCTGCACGAAGACAAGAAAGAAAGAAAAATTAACTTGTAATGAATAAAATGGTGCGAATGTGCTCCTCTTTTTCCATGCTCGCCAATATCGTCGATTGCTGCAAACAAAGAAAATTCGTCCATAGACTGTCTTCGTATCCCATCCCTAAAAGCGGTGAAAGAAAATATAATCCAATCAATCCCCCATCCATCACTGACCAAGAAATCATAGTCTGAGCTCCCTCAGTATCTGATCAGCCATGTTTTTGTATTGCCAAGTTCCTCCTGCCAAACGTTTGAATTGAAGCCCGTGAAGAGACAGTAGTGAAATCTTGACGATGAAGATTTCGAACTCGAGAATCATGCTGCCACCCAACTCGCTCTGTACATGAGTGCTGGTTTCCCCAACGGCTCTGGTTGAAGGACCACCCCGGCGGGTGCGGTGGACACTGTCATCGGAAGCATCGGAATTGGTATAGCTATTATCTCCTCGGTGTCTACCAGGAGTTCTAGGTGTTTGTGGCGATCTTTCCGCTTCTCGAAACTCTTCTCGATCTCTGTCCATACTGTTACTACCGCCGCCCATAAGGCCTCCGAAGCTGATGCGGCGACGGTGACTCGGTGTCTGATTGCCATGGCTACTGGGAGGAAGGTCCACGACCCTCTTCAAATCAATTGAAGGAGTGTGTCTGCAACTGAAACCACCTCTAATCTCATTGTAGTCGACGCCCAGCTGTCTTAAAACTCGAATGATGTCCGCGCGTATAGCATGAACTGGCTTTGTAGACGTAGTTGAAACGCTGAAAAGCCCCTTCAAAAATACAGGCTTTACATTCTCTGCTGTTTCGATGCGCTCCGTAGATACACCACTAGCATTCCCAAGCTCCAGGTCGGTCTCCTCTGGCACATTGGCCTCACGATTCTCATCTCGGCGGGCGCGTCGTGCTTGAATGCTTTCCCGGCGAGCATGGCCAAGTGATTTCGCTCTGGCTGATTTTGGATTTAAGTGTGAGGAAGACTTTTGCTCTGAATCTCGTTTTGGTTTTTCATTCGAAGTCGAGTGCTCCGAATCACTTGTAGGAGGGGGTTGCTTGTAGGTAACCTTTGGTGTTGGCGGAACTTCTGCTGCCGCTCTTCTACTCTCCTTCCGCCTGAACTCGGCTGAGTTAACACTAGTTGACCTCCCCAATTTATTTGAGCTTCGTGCACTATTATCAGCGGATCTTGGTGGTGACAACATCTCGCTGTGCTGTGGTTGGCTACTGCCAGAGCGAAGTATAGATGATGGTGGTCCTTCAATATCGCGCTCGCGCTCCCGAGTTCGACGCACACTAAAACTTTTTCGAATAGTGCTTGGTTCGTGCACATGAACTTGGGGTGGATGGCTCTTATCAAAGTTTCTCTCAGAGGTCTCTTTGCGTCTCCTTGTGCTAAATCTTCGCAAAATTCCAGCAGCAGTGCTCTCTTTACGGGTGTGAGTTTGCTCTGGGGGAGGCTCGATGATTGCTGGAGAAGTTGGACCACTTGCACCCGCGGCAACTCTCAAATGCTTCAAACCTTCCGTTACATCATCTTCTCCATGTGTTCTAGCACGAGGTCGTGAACGTCCGCCAGTTGCCTTTTCTCCTGGCATCTCATAAGCAGCAGCGTTGGTGTGTGCTGCTTTTGGAGCCGGCAATTCTGGCATTTGAAGGGGGGCCTCCCCAGGTGAACGTGGCAAGCTTGTAGCCCCGGGATTTGCAGCAAGCCTATCCCGCTCCTGCTTCTCTCTCACGAGATAATAAACAGAGATCAGAGGATGGTAAGCATTTACTGGGTCATTTCCGAGAGCCAGGCCCTCAGAGCTAGGGGCTGTGAGAGTATCTCGGCTGGTGTTCGAGGATCGTCTTTTGTAAAAGTCGAATCCAAACCCTCGTTTCTTTTCGGCATCTTTTGGTTGAGTCTGTGATTCCCGTTCCTGTGCCGCCACTCTGACAGCTCGTTGGTATTCTTGAGACTCGATCACTTCCAACAATTGACTTTGTATAAGTTCTGGAGGCCCAAAATCGAAACCTGTCATAGCCTGGATGACAGCTGGGTCAAGAGGCAATTGAATTGGCTCCCGCACCGGTAGGTAGTTTTCAGGAGGCGACCCGAATCCCTTCATCATCCAAGGATGGTTCATGATTTCTTGCAAACTTGCGCGTTGTCTTGGGTCGGTCACAAGCATTCTTGAGATGAGGTTCTTGCATTCTGTGACTGTCAGTGGGCGTAATTTTCCATGGAACAACATCACTTACCTGGGGACAACCAATTTGGATAATCAACAATTCCTTTCTTGATCTTAGCATGCAACGCCGGCATGCTTTGGTCATCGAAGGGTACTTTTCCGCAAACAAGAACATAAAGCACAATCCCAAAACTCCATACGTCTACCTCTGGTCCAGTATACGCCTTCGCTTGCAATAATTCGGGTGCAGCAAAATACAAACTTCCGCAAAATGTCTTCAGATGACTCCGTGGAGCAAACAAATTGCTCAAGCCAAAATCAATAATCTTAATGTCTCCTGTCTTGCTTATTAAAATATTTTCAATCTTCAGATCCCGATGCACGATGCTGTTTCGATGGCAGTAGTCCAGAGCGCTTGCAATTTGCCTGCTGAATTTTCTAGCTTGCTTCTCCTTTAGGCGCCCGTGGGAGATGATATAGTCGAGCATTTGTCCTCCATTGACATATTCAAAAAGCATGTACCAGTGGTAGGTCGTCCGCACAACATCTCGCATTGCGCAGATATATGGGTGCTCCAGGAGAGTAACAATAGCTGCCTCTCTGGCTGTTCGAACTTCCTTGGAATGCTCCGCACGTTCTCGGTCTGCCTGGCTCTGGTTGTGGCCATCGTCAGTCATTCCTCGGGGAACTATTTTTACTGCTACCTAGGAAAAAATCAGTTCATGTCATCAAAAAGACTCGAGAATCGGTGCCTACCTGTTCACCCCCTTCCGGTCTTCGAGCTAATTTCACCTTTCCCATACTCCCTGCACCAATAGTCTTACCCAGAACCCAATTGCCTGTTTGTGCTGGAATGGTGGTTCTCGACTTTCCCGATCTTCCAGTATGCCTTGAATCCTGTGCATTTACCACTGGAGCTGGGCCCGCCCCATTCGCGACGGAGGTCGACATATCTTTCGAGTACCGACTGTGATGTGAACGATGGTGATGGTGATTAGGTGCGCTTCTGGCGTCTGATCTGGATTGTGACTGCGAATGCGAATGCGATGATCGGTCTCTGCTGCTGCTTGGGCGATGGGAATGCGCGGCGTTGGAAGGCTCACGTTCGTAGTCTCTTTGCTGCTGCGGCGCTCTTTCTTCGCGCGAAGAGGTTCTGTGATGACTGGAATGGCCTCGATGCGGACTGGCAGGCACCGGGTCCTTGGATCTCGTAGAATGGGATCGAGTTGAGGTGGAGTGGGAGTGGGAGTGAGATTGAGATTGAGATTGACCTCGTCGTGAACCACTTCTCTCAAGCGTTGTGGGGTTTGTTGCCATCGCTCGAGGTAGCAATCAGCCGGGTGGTGTTGGGGGTAAGGGTGGTCCCTTTCTGAGAATACGGCGTTCCGACCCCTGAACAAACAAGCGACTGATACGTCAGATAGCGAGCGAGGTTGGGGGCAGATTTGGGGGCGTTTTTTTCGATTTTCGGAATTTCCTCAGCATGAGGCTTGCGGTGAATGGCACAGCTGCAGAGCGATGGGATGGGAGGAAGGGAGGAGGATGGGATGAGGTGATGATAGTGGGATGGTGATTGTACTGAGACCAGATTCTGGTGGTGGTAGTGGCAGTAGCGGTGGTAGCACAAAAGGTGATGGGATGGGAGAGCGTTGCGGTGGAATCAGGATCCGGGAGCTAGAGTACCTCTGTCCGCTTGCTGCTCTGCTTACGCTGCGTTGTGGGTGAGGATGGGATGGATGCAGCAACTCACTGCCTGACCTGAACACCGACACCCGAATTCCTGGATGCGCTGGTGAAGTGGGTGAGCTTGGGCTCGCCGTTTCACGCTCACGCTCACGCTCACGCTCACCCTCACCCTCACCCCATACGTCACTTTCTATTTTGACAGCATTCACTCTGCCTTACGAGTACTTTGTAAATATCCCTACTCCCTACCCAATGCCCTACTCCATACTATACGTATATTCGACAACCAATGCGCTGTACAAACAATGTGACGATCGATCCGGGCTACTACTGGGTACCCAGACTTCCGCTCAATGCACTCGGAAATTAGGGCCAACGGTAGCTAAGGGAGCTAAGACAAAAAAATATGTCGCTAATCAAGAGCCGAATGCAAGCAGCTGGGTGCCTCCTTACAGTAGTGAAGTCTAAAGTAGCGTAGCGCTCTAGATTTCTGTCAATAGACTCAAACTACTAAAGGAACACCCGTCCCCGGCTTCCACTACTTTAGAAATAATTCGAAAAGGTTTACTTTTATACGAGTAGTGCATCACTCTCTTTTCTCTCACCTTTCTGCCGCTTGCTTGTTCCTATCCTCGTTGCTTGTCTAATATTGGCAATATTCTCACCACCAGAAGATGATGTTTGGGTATAGTGTCATATTGTTAGTTCCGCTACGCTTCCCAGTCCCGAAGGACACACGCCGCTAGCTTATCAGACTACAAAGTAATTGGTAGACTCCAGGTTTGACCATCCCACTCCAGATATGTCTTCAGCAGCCAAAGTGTTTTCTCTCCAAAGGCGAAGCAACTCAATCACTTAATTGCCTCAAGGCTAGCGTCCTCGCATGCTGGACGATAATAGGAGCGCCATTGGAAAGCACCTGTAGCCCATGTGCACACTGACGCTCTCCTCTGCATATGCTCTGGGTCAGCAAGCCGTTGTAACGACCCGAGAATGGGTGATTCCGCTGATACCCTCCCCCACCTCAGCCTGCCTCATCTGGGAAAAATACGCAAACACTTTCTTCCGGTTGCTTGCAGCTCCCCCCTTCCACCGAGAGTCCTGGAAACAGGTGCGTGATCAATAATACAATGCCATTCGGACATTCCTGACCCCCCGGATTTGGAACTCGACATCTGAAGAAGCTTCCGAGGGTTCTGGAAGTTGTAGTGCATTTTTCCGTGACACCAGATAGATGCCTTCGGATCAGCCTAGAACGTGGGTTTGTACGCCATCTTGTGTTTGGAATATCTTACGGTTTCAAGAGTGAAATAATTGGGCTTGATTGAACCCGCTAACGGGTCCAGGGGCTTAACGCGGCTATTTTCGCTTGCGGCATAGGTCGAGTCTCTGTCATGATTTTCTCCACCAATTGTTCTGAAAGTCCTACGAGTCCTACGAGGCCTACTCGTATTCTAGAGTCCTAAAGTCTTGAAGAAAATCTAATCTTTTAACTTTTGATGACTTAGGCTGTCAGTACAATTGATTCAATGGTCGGAACTAAGCTAAGATAAAGTCATCTTGACCCAGGTGTCGAACAATGGAGTCTTATCTTATGGCTGGAATTTGTCTCACATCGTCTCTATTTCATCAATTCGTATCACAATAGCATAGCTAGATTCCAACTCTTTACATATCCCACTCACATATTCTTCTGCGTTAACAGCATACCACTTCAACTCGCCTACTGCCCTTATATCAACACAATATCATAGCCCAGAATACCCCCCATCAACAAGCAAATTCGTCGCCGTAATATACTGCGAATCCTCACTAACCAGAAAAACCGCCGCTCTAGCAACATCCTCCACCTGCGCAAACTGACCCCAAGGATGTAACGCTTTCAACGCCTTCGTCGTCTCGACCGCAACCGGGTTCTCAGAATCCCTTAACAAACACGCAATCAATGGGGTATCAGTAACTAAAACCACCAACATTAACATCACCACCAACTCCTCCCAAATCACAACCCCCCAAAAAGAAAAGTACAAGAGTCAAGAAGGAAGGAAGGAACCAAACATACAAGTCGGACAAAGCGCATTACAATGTACCCTCTCCCTCGCATAATCCACGCCCAACTGCCTCGTCAAGCCCACCACCGCATGTTTACTCGTCGTATAAGCGGGGGCACCCGGCAGGGCAACGACGCCCGCCAAACTGGCCGTGTTGACGATCCAGCCCCGCGTCTCGTCGCCTCTGCTATTTGCCGGCAGGGGCTCCTGCCGCAGGAACTGCGCGAGCGCGTATTTACAGCCCAGGAATGTGGCGCGCAGGTTGACTTCGATGGTGCGGTCGAAGACGGACATGGGAGTTTCGTGGGCGCGGAGACCGCCCGGGTGGAGGGCGAGAAGGGGCACTTCGGGGGCGATGCCGGCGTTGTTTACTATTCTTTTGGATATTAACATCTCGCTCACTACACCCTTTCCCTTTTCCTTCCTTCCTTCCTTCCTCCCTTTCCTTTCCTACAGTAAACTCGCAAATACAAATATCAAAACTCACATATCCAACCTCCCCCACACCCTCCCAACCTCCTCCACCAGCTCCCTAACCTCCCCCTCCTTCCCAACATCCACCCTTCTAAACCCCGCCTTCCCTCCCCTCTCAGTGATCAACTCATGCGTCGCAACGGGATACTCCTCGTGAAACTCGGCGCGAGCCCCCGGCTGGAGATCCACGCACATCACCCAGGCCCCCTCCGCGCCGTAGGCGAGTGCTATCGCGCGACCCAGGCCGGAACTGGAGCCTGTGACGATGGCTTTGCGGTTGGGGAGACGGGGGGTTGCCATGGTGAGGTGTGAGGTGTGAGATTTCGTATGAGGTTTGGGGGAAGGGAGGGGTGTTATATCTATTTCCTAGTTGTATACATATCAATATCCCAAAAGGAATCCGAAAGAGAAAGAAAACAACCCTATCGATATCATCGTCCTACTACCCCGCGTCATTTCCCCTCTTCCCCTCTTCCCCTCTCCCCCTCTCCATCCACCCTGCCGTCCTCCCACACTCTAACCCATCAATACCTACTTACGGCCTCGAAACTCGTATGTGGGGGTTACATTGCATAGACCTTTGTGTATTCTCGTGCGCTGTCTGTGGGATCTTTGTTCTATATCGGGTCATATTTTCGTTTATCCCTCAGCTAACCAGCTAGCCACATATAGTACAGTAGATAGGAAATGTTGAGTGGGTGGGTGATCGGACCTGATGGTTGGGTGTGCTGAAGTGTTGTACTGTACTGTACTGTACTGTAGATGGAAATAGGATAGGGTTTATATGTGTAAGTGGTGGGATAGATTTTCGGATTCGGAGATGTTGGAGGGATGTGGTGTTTGGCATAGTCATGGTACAGATCTATGTGTAGGATATCTGGTTTTTCGGTAGGTGTGGAATACAAGACTCGATAGATATTGGGTTCTTGTTTCGCGATGGGGGAATGGGGAGTTTGCTACTTATATTACTAGATGGAACGTAGAGGTTGTTGGGTTTTATGGGGGCTTGATTTGGATTTCATTTAAGGAGTAGGTATGGATAGAAGATTCAAGGAGGCGAGCGTCCTGTTCTACGTACTCACTTCTCAGGTCAGATATAGAATTCTCTTTGAAGGTGAGAAAGCAATTTTTATGAAACGGTAATTACTGTATAAACTTTTGTGTAAACTTATTATACTTCCACCCTTTCAAAGCTCCTCTTCTATGACTTCGAAGGTCTTCTTACGAGATGTTAATCTCGCTGAAAACTACCTGGGCTGGAGTACTTTCTGAATATCTACTTTTGTGATTTATCTTCTCTACCCTGTTGTGCCGGGATGGAAGATTACTTGACTTGTATGATTTTCTGAAACAGAGTATACTATCTTAACGAAAACAAAAGCAGAGGAGGAGGAGGAAGAAGAAGAAGAAGAAGAAGAAGAAGAAGAAGAAAAAGAAACACATCAAACTCCAAATCCCCCACCCTAGCTAGATTTCCACCCTCAAAAGACCAATACAGTGAGCAACAAACAAGCTCCTACAAATAATCTCCCTAGCGCTCCTATCCCCACCTCCTCAAAGTCTCCACTGTAATCTTACAAAGAACCAAGTTCCTATTTCGATAGCGAGTTCATAGTTGTAACTCCTTGACGGAGCGAGCCTTCGTACTTGCCGCTGTTTTGGCGCTGGTGTTAGATGTGAAGTCGGAGGCTGTGGTTATTAGGGGGGAGGTGTTGGAAGATCGAGTTAGTGAGTGGGGGGGGGTTACAAAAGGGAAGTGGGATGGAATAGCGTTGTGTTTATTGTGTGGTTGGCTGTGATGTTGATTGTTGATCATGAATTGATTACGGGATAATATAGTATTTAAATATATTAAAGGAAGGACAACGGTTACTGCTCCATTTACTCCTTTCCGTCCTGGGAATGTACCTATATCTCGTTCGATATTATAAAGTATTAACTATATAATGCATCTTTTTTTTTTAATTATATGAGATGATGAGAATTTACCTTCTCATACACTAATCGATTGCATGCCTCGGGCTTTGGCTTCCTACACATTGGTTTCTTTAGTAGATAGCTTTGTTGATGAAATACTTTAAGACTCTTCATCCTACTTCGGTAATAGAAGTCCCAAGTTCATATCTAGCTTATTGCAAGTAACATCTAATATAGACAATTTAACTTATAGATGTATAATCTCTAACCCCGAATTCTTCCTTGTACTGTACAATCCTTACTCCCTAGGGAATCAATCTACTGTAGTTTTACTACATTAGTAAATACAATTTACAAATTCATAATCAATCACTTACTCAATCACTCAATCACTCAATCACTCAATCACTCAATCACTCAATCACTCAATCACTCAATCACTTAATCTAAACAGCGTAAGAAATAAATAGACTCGGTCCCTACAAGTACTATACTCTACTCTCCTTACCAAGCACTCGAGTAGTACTCGAATAACTCAGGCCTCGCCTCAGCTCGCTAGTCCGACATCTCAGACTTAGCGGGCCCCCACGCCCCCTACTCATCTAAAAGGTATAAGCGACAGGAAGATCTCACAATAAAGAGAGCGCTTTAGATCTAGAGTCGAGTATCCCGTCGACGCTAGTTTCTAACAATACTTGCTACTTTAGATAGGAAAAATAAGGAATATGAGATACTATTGATAATTGTTTTGTAAGAGAGGCGGGCATTACTCTGTACACGCTATCAAAAATCATTATCAAGACCCTAGCACAAGTCCTCATTACCCTATTTCACGTAGTATAATATCAATTGACAAGGAACAATCATTCCAAACTACTTGAGTATTCGTAAAATTGTTTTACTGTAGTTGTATGAGGTCTTTGGGATAATATTTTCATAACTTAGATACATAGAGAGAGTAATGCTCGCCTCTCTTCCTCGAGTAGTTAAGTTTAGTACTTATTACTACCTAATTACTATAGTGGAATCCGCTACGCTATTTTATTTTATTTGAGTAGTTACTGTAGCCTGTAGGTAGTTCTTTTGTACGATCGTTGAATCAATTAATTAGTCACTCACTTAAACACTTACTTAATCACTTGCTTAATCACTTACTATAAGAGAGTCGAGCGTTCCTCTGTACAAACCTAACTTACAAAAATACAAAAAAAATATCATCCTAAAGACTTCACACAAGTTACAACTAAAACAATTCTACAAATAGCTTATTATAACTGTTACTTTTCAATTCTTATTATACCAGGTAAAATAGGACAATTAAGTTACTTGTGCCAGACTTTTAGTATAATGACTTTTGATAGCGTGCCGTCTCTCTTACCCAAAACACACCATACAGTATATATCACAAGCCATCAAAACATCAAGTCATCAAGTCATCAAAAAGAAGCCAAGTAAAGCAAAACTCCATTCATACCATAAAATCTCACAACTCGCTTCATCGCTATGTATGTAGTAATCAAGTAATCAAGTAATCAATCGCCTCATTAAAAAAAAGAAGAAGTGACGAAAGAAAGAAAGAAAGAAAGAAAGAAAGAAAGAAAGAAAGAAAGAAAGAAAGAAAGAAAGAAAGAAAGAAAAGAGAGATAAAAAAGGTAAAGGAAAATGGATGTATACAATGCCATGCCAAGCTATGACAACCAAGCCCATATATCGAAGAAGAAAAAAAAAGGAAAAGAGAACAAATGCATCGTAATCGAGATCAAGATCAAGATCAAGATCCATCCTTCGTAAATACCTCCCTCCTTGAAGGCATGAAATGAAGTATTCACACAAGAAATCCCCGTCCACCCCTGATATCAAAATCCCGCATCAACCTCATCATCAAGTATGAAGTATAGACACAGAAAATCCCCACTCACCCCATCCGTTCCAACCGAATTCCCATTTTGAATTATGCCTCATCCCGTCCCCATCCATCCCCGTCCATCCCCATTGCCTCCACCCGATTCATCGCCTCCATCCCATTCATTTGCTCATCCCAACCAAAACCCAGAAAAATTTGATCAACAATTCTGAAGATAATTACTAGGAACCAACCCGGGCCGCCCATTCTTCCCCGCAATCTCCGCTTCCCACCACCCATCATCCTGGAGTCGCAGGACCGCCATGATGTCCCCCTTGGAGAAACTCAGTTCCTCGGGAATGGCAGCTTGGTACATATACATAGCACGAGCTGTAGCAATAATCAGCACATTACTCACCAGAAAAGGAATATTAGAGGGGTATGGATGACTTACCAAAATGCAAAATCGGTCGTCCTTCCCGGTTGTACTGTCTCACATCCGCCACACTCTTACTCCGAGACCTAGTTGCAGACCCATTCTGAGATTGTCCTCCATAATAACTCATTGTCCTCGACGAACCCGCACGACTGCTTCCTCGGCCTTGAGAACCACCGTATTGAGAACCAGCATATTGAGAGCCTCCATATTGAGAGCCAGCATAGCTATCGCTGGAAGAGGGAGCAAGTTGTATGGCCATATCACTATTTACATGATTGACATGACTACTGTTTGGCCTCTCTTGTTGTGCGAATGGTGCTGGAGAAGGACCTCGAGCAAGATCCGTTGCAGAATTGTGACGATTATGGTAATCCTGTTCAGTGGTAGTACGCTTTTGGGGTGATGACTGTGTCCTGGATCGTTGACTACCACCATATGGATTAGGGGAAACAGAGCGATGCGTTTGTCTTACTTCGATTTGCATATTAGGGCGGGGCGAAACGCTGCGAGTAGAATGAGTAGGAGCAGGCGAGACAGCTCTTCGTGTAGGGGCCGGCGAGACAGCTCGGGGCATATCACTACCTCTTGTGCCAGGTCGAGATTGCGCTCGAGATTGCGCCCCTGAACCATATCCTCCTTGCGAATCTGGTCGTGCTTGGGGTGGTGTGAACATGCTTCGAGTTTGGTCCTCGTACTTCTGACGGGTTTGTTGCATGGCCTTAGATGTGAAGGCTGGCTGTGGTAGCCCAAGTCTCGAGACTGGTTGATCATAGGATGGCGGAGGAGTTCCACGCATACCTGCCATAAGAGCTGCATTGTTCATCTGACTTCCCACCGGTCTAGCAGGGTTGGCTCCTGGAGCTGGAGTTGGAATGTTGTGATAGTTATCTGCAGAGACACGCTGTGAAGACGCTTTCGTGACACCCTTCAGTTCTGCGAGAGCTTGAGCGATTGGATCTAATTCTTCTTGGGTTTCCTCTTCAGCAGATTTCCCCTTTTCCTCTGTTGTTTGAACATCAAAAACATTGTTTCCTACATTCAGTTGGAAGTTGGCACGAGGATCAACTGGTTCAGGACTGGCACTTGGCTTGTCACTGATCATCATGGTTTGTGAGGTTTGTGAGCTCGCACCGTACTGTGGCCTTGGTTGTGAAACAGACACTCGATTTTGGTTTGTGCGGCTAGATGCCCATGTGTTGCGACTTGCTGGTGGCATCATAGGACCCCCATCTCGGTCCTTGTTACTCTTTCTTCTGAAAGGACTATGACTTTGGAAAAAGCCACTTTTTTTCTTCATAACTTGCTTTTCCGGGGGCGGGGCAGCAACCTGTTTTGTGGGCGAAGTCTTTCCGCTTGGTGGTTCTTGACTGGAAAATGATGTAGGATTAGAATAGTCACTTTGAGAGTCACGGCTTGATGGTCTCATTGGACTATGAGCTGAGCTTCTTTCCGAAGGAGGCCCAGTTCTACAAAGCATTGTCATACCATCCATTGGATATGGGTCGTGGGGCACTGCCGTCAACGCTGGAGGCTGCTCAAACGGATGTCGGGATTTCTGAGGAGGATCATATTGCAGCTGTTTTGCTCGATCTGGCATAGTATTCTTCTGCTGGGCCGAAGCACCATACTGTTCCCTTGACCGATCCGGAGCAGTGCTTTGTTGGATAGACGGTTCATATTGCAGCCGCCTTGGTCGGTCTTGCTGAATTGAGGGTTCATATTGCTCCTGCCTTGAACGTTCCGGAGTAGTATCCTGTTGAATTGAAGGCTCGTATTGCTGCTCCCTTGACCTATCTGGAGCAGTACTTTGTTGGGTAGATGGTTCATATTGCAGCCGTCTTGGTCGATCTTGTTGAACCGAAGGTTCATATTCTTCCCTTGACCGGTCTGGGGTAACGTTTTGTGGAGGGGCATCTTGGACGGAAGGTGGTTGGTATGCAACATGTGGTTGTTGTCGAGTACGCTCAGTTTGAGCCTTCTGTGGAGTAAGTGTGGCCTCACGGCTTGGAGGAGTTCCTGGGTCATGTAAAAGCTCTTTCACCAGAGCCGACTTGGGATCGTGGTGTGATTCGTAGGTTGATGGTTGAGGCGAGGAGCTTCTATAAGCTGGATTGATAGTTCGTTGGAATTGAGCCACAGAATAATTCTCGTCTTCGGATGATTCTGATTGCGTATCACTGACATCTCCACGGCAGAAATTGATATATCTTGGAGGATCGGGGATTTCCTGTCCAGTTCCTTGCTCCTTGATGAAACTGTAAATGTCCTTTTCGACTTCGCAATTTTCAAGTGATAGCCGGACCTTTTCGCACGAGGCATCATCGCTAACACAGACTGTCGACGCAATATTGGCAAAGGCCCATAAACTAGCTTTCAGAAAGTCCAATCGTTCTTCCTCTAGATCTTGGAACTTGTCCGCAGCCGCTTTCCAGTCTCGGTTCCATCGTCCAGTCGTTTCTTCCAGTATTTTGACAGCAGCCTCGTATTCTGTGTTGGATGTGGCAAGATTGATTTGAGTCTTCTCCAATTTGGCCTTGTTCTTTCTCTCTTCCTGTCCCATAACCATATGACCCTGGGCGAGATATCCCTTGATCTTGAGACACTCTTGCTCATATTTATCTCGAGTCTATGGTACAGTCAGCAATTTGATGCAAACGCTGGGAGAGACACACCTACCTTATTGACTTGGTTTGTTTGCTGCACCTTGACTTTCAGAAGCTTTTCAATTCCACCTTGTACAATCTTTCTCCGCTCCTTCATTGCACCTGCAAACGCCGCCAGCGGCTCGTCGAGTTCCGTCTTCATCTGGCTCGCAACATTTTGATGTGACTTTCCCATTTGCTCAACCTCTCCTCTCAGCACATCCAACGACGCTCGAAGTGTTCCAGATTCATGAGATCCAAGGGGCTTCCGGGACAGATTTAACAGTTTCCGGGCGTATTCATCTTCGATTGCTGCTCGAGCTGTGCCAATGTTAGCTTGGCGATATTGACATGGAGTGTTTGCGGCATGAGATACATACCAGTATAGAAAGATTTTATTTCATCGCATGTCTGTTTCGCATTGTGCATGCGCTGCATTAAAGGTTCGACTCCCGCATCTTCTTTACCCCAGAAATTATTCGCAAAGCTCAAGGAAACAGAGGGACCCTCCGACACAGTTCCAGGCATGGTGTCCAAGCTGCCAACGGCGTTGATATTATGGACTGGTCGGGAGTTGAAAGGCAACAAAAAAAACAGCAAAAAATTCCAATACCCTCTAAAGAAGGAAAGAGGGACGAATGGGGTGAGAGGGAGTGGTAGAGTGTGGTCGAGGGTGTGGATGTGTGGAGGTTGGGGAAGAAGATATGCGGTGGCTGGCGGGTACTCGTATTGCCAAGAAGGTCAGCTCAAAACAACCTTCGATGCCCACGGACGTTGGCTGGGCGATAAGGACCCACAACCACACTCCCGCCAGGAAATTCCCCGAAGCCGCATCGTCATTCCAGGTCAATTGATATGGATTGGAGGAATTCTATAAAATCGTTTGGTCTATTGAATAAACAGAGCAAGCATGGATTACAATCCGAGTTTTTGCCAGAATCAAAACAATCGAAAGCTTAATGCTACCGCTATTGTAGATATGGTCCGTTGGAACTTGGAACCCCGGAGGAGCAAGCCCTTGCACTTACTATGATCTATCAAATCAGATATTCCCCAATCCCGGAAACCTTGCCAAGGGTGTTCCTCTAGAATAAGATGCATTTTCGGCCAATCAAATTAGCGACGTGGGAATCCTTTGGGAATTTCGGTGTGCTTGGACCGACATAAATCCACCTTACATACTTGAATATTGACAGGGGAATTGGGACCCATAGCTGAGTCTTGAAAACGCCATGGCTAAGGTGGTATTGGATAACCGTATCTATTCTTATTAAACAATCGATAAAAGGAAACTTACAAGCCAAGGTGTCCTATTGCTAGCTTTTAGTCCACGTTTCCGATTTACTAGCGCTTGAAGAAGTTAGAGGCAGTAGAAAATTCTATCAAACATAGTAATTTTCTGAAGGGCAATTTAATTGATTTAGGCATTGTTACAGATAACCAGCCAAGGCAATTATATTATATGTGTGTTGATTAGGGAGAGTACAACTCGCATGCCTCCGATTACCTCAAGACGCCGATTTGGGGCACACGGCTTTAACCCTTAGCAGAGACATCACAACAACATAAAGGTTCTCAATTTGTAAGATACTCATGTTGCTGCTTACGATCTACTGGTATTCTTGTTATATTTTGTAGGCTTTAAAACTGCAAATTAGATGACTTATCAAACCTTGGAAAGTAGCATTGTATTAAGGCGCATATCTTTTCTTCATGGTACGGAGTAGATCTAGAGCTGGGTCCGGGGGCACTCAGTAAAGCTTACACCTTAGGAGACCTCAAAATATTGTGCTAAAGCCTTGCGACATTTCAAAGTTTTTAGCTCAATTGTGCTAGCGTGATCAAATAATAAAAGGTCTCAGTATCTGATACTTCACAGGCTTCAGGTAATTAAATTGGCCATTGCAAGCTTTTGGGTTCAGTGTGCAGAGCAATCACTGACCATATCTCGCTATGTCTCTCGCTAGATCATTTATCTGTCAACGCTTCAAAATAACATAACACTACATGAAGCAAGAACCAGAAAGAGCTTGACTTCTTTATTCTTGCCTAAGCAGTAAGAGCCACACTTACCTATTGATTCATAACTTCGTTCTGAATCTGGTACTTGTACATTGTGTATTAACCAAGTTTGTTTCCTTTGGTCACGTTCTTGCTGTAACACACAGCAATGAAAATAGACACAACAATCAGAGTTCTCATTAATTCTCCCTCTGAGCCAAGTATGCGTCTCTCAATCTTTTTTTTTTTACCTCTCATATTCCTTTGGAAATGTTTCTGCTATGTTCTACCGTAAGAAAAGTGATTGTAACACATGCAAGCAGCCTCTTTGCATTGCCCCTCTGATGAGTTGGTAATAACCTTATTCTGAAGGATTGTCATCAGTTGATGACTGCAGGTGCATTAGACTGGTGGTTGTGGTCAGACAAGGAACTGGTGTTTCTCATGAACCGCAGCTAAAGGTCTGCTTGAGGCTCCTCTTTGGTCTGTCTGTACTGGGCCTGGAGGTTAGGGGCAACCGATTTGGTGAACAAATTGTATAGATAAAAAGTGTAGGGGAACTAGACATCGTGAAAGGGCATAAGTAGACACTTTAGTAGTGAAGGGGCAGTTGTCCTTTCAATTTGTCTTTGGTTGAGAAAGAGACCTGACGTTGGTTGTGAGACCCTCCAACTTAGTGGCGGAGGACAAATAAGCACACGCTAGTACCAAGTCGGTTAGATTCCAGAGCTGGCTGGCAGTCGCGACCCGGCTTCAACAACACCATTTCATCGGAGAACAATCCATTCACAACTCTTCCTAACTATACCCCCCCTCCTTGCGACGCCCTAACGCCGCGATCAATGTCCATACCTCCCCGGTAGGCCTCACCCTCGTCTGTATAGCACGAGAGTCAGCTCTCCGGAGTGGGTCTGCGCCAGAATACCTGCAACTTCGATGGTGAACTCAAGAGGGGGCACTTTCACACCTTCGCCTGCACATCAGACCATTGTGACTGGTGTTAGCCATTCACCTCAAGGCTCTCACCACAGCGCCTTCAGTGCCAGCGCCAGCCCCAGTACCAACAGTCCGACTGGATCAAACTCACTCACCAAAATCGTCGTTGCTCAAGTCTACCTCCTCCTCAGTACCATCAAGAAAGATAAGGATCTTACAAAGTGGGAAGAAAAAGCTGAGCAGATCAGAAAGGTACGCTTGGCGCTCTCCTCCCTCTGCCTCCCTCTGTCTTCCCTAATCCATTCTCAACTTCCGCACTCCACCAACTTTGAGCACGCCCTACCTCAAGACACGTACAATGGCAACTAACCAGGACCCTCTGCAGCTGATGGATGAGCACGGCATGGAAGTGTACAACAAAGGCATCACTCGTCTTGTCGTTGGCAATGCGGGTCGCATATTCCCAGGTGTCAATCGCCCGCCATCGAATCCTGACAACTACGACATCTTGTGGGAGCATGTACACGAGATAACCAAAGATGTCGATCAGGCTGGGAAACTTGCAGAGGCGATAGAATCTGGCAACGAGGACATCTTTCGCGACTTCGATCTTTCCACCTTCATGCAACACTTCAAGCTAGACGCGCTTGAGAAGACAATTCTAGCTTTGGCTTTCAAGACTGGCTCAAGATCAGATCTGAAGACGAAATGTAAGTTTTGGCGCAGCCTGGCTAACAATATGCACTTCAAGCTGACCATCCCCCAGCCGATGCCATATTATCCGCCAATTACTCCGAATTTACCAAGATATTGTCACAACCCGAGCCTCGACGTGACCTCCCTCCTGCTTTCCTCGCCACTATTATAGACCGTCTCATTCAAGAGCACCCACCAAGCTTCGACCAGACTGCGAGAAAGGAACTCGGAATGGCAATCTCCTATCGGTACGCTGCCTTGGATCTCGCTACTCCAACAGAGGTTCTGGCAGCACTTTACCTCTCGCACTGCCTCAGCAAGGAAAACTCTTTGGCATTATACATAAAGCGTTGGGGATCAGCCATGACTTCTGATGAAGAGACGTGTAGAAGCTATCTGCATGATCGTGGCAACGTGGATCTGAGTGAGGAACAAGTTGCAGCCGCCTTGATTTATACGTCAATCAGCCAAACGCCAACATTTTCAGTAAGCATCTTAGTGAGTTCCCTGCGAAGAGAGGTTTCCCGAACTTTCCGCTGGTCAAATGTCGTCAAATATTTCGACAAACCGCTTCTACGAATAACCCCCAGACAATTCCTCGCTTTATACTCTGCACTTCGCCCTCTTGCAGAAGAAGAATCTCTGGACATCCAAAGTTTGTGGGGTGGAAAATGGGTAAACTCAGAGACCCAATTATCCTTCATAGGTGCATTCTTGTCGTTGAGCCCAGAGGACTTGGATGCTACTACCATCCCAAACCTCCAATTCTCATTTAATTTGGAAGAATTCACCGGCACGGATACGGAGATACATGCCCATGCAGCACGAGCAGTACGACATCCACTTGTATCAGCTGTTGCTCTAACTGCGCTGTTCAGTGTCGCTTTGGAACACCAGGCATCATCTGAGACCACTGAAGCCAAGAGGCTTTTCCAGGGCGTTGTGGTTCCCAATTTGGATATTTTCTTGGTTTCTGCATTTGGAGTGGAAAAGCCATGGCCAGAGATAGCTGTCGACACCATCAACACCCTCTTTGATCGATTCCTTTACAAATATGACCCGAATTACGATTTTGTTCTCGAAGGTCTATGGCGTAAGGACAAGCAATGGGTCGCAGAGCGATTGATTGATGCTCATGCAAAACTCCCAACAGAATTATCTACCATACTCGACCATGCAGTTCGTCACAATTGGTTGGGGGATCTGGTGCTTATCCTTAGCGGGTTCGGCCTTGACCTTACCGCACTGGCACATGCGCGTGGCCGATTGGATCTCGATACTTGGGCTTTGAGGCACCAGGGTCATAATGAAATCTTGGCGAAATCTCTTATTACATTTCTCAATATCAAAGCCAGACATGAACTCGAATTCCAACGATCCGAAGGAAGTCAACTGGTCAGCGTCATGCTTCCCGTCAAGACAATTTTTGCATTGTTAATAATCCTTCGAGAAGTATTGCCAAAAACCCCTGATGCGGAGGTGATTCTTGTCCAACGAGCTTGCATAACAGCATACCCTCGGCTTATCAATTATGGCGCGGATAAAGACGCGATTATTGATGCAAATGGTAGAATGTCAAATTCTTTGCCAAAAGAAGCCAATGAGAGAATGGAGGACCATTACAAACGAATGTATAACCAGGAGCAGCAGGTAAAGTCGGTTGTCCTTAAACTTACAGATTATAAGAATTCAGACGATCCCGCCGATCAAGACACATTTGCGTGCATGATTCATGGTCTTTTTGATGAGTACTCCCTTTACGCTACTTATCCATTAGAAGCCTTGGCAACAACCGCGGTGCTTTTTGGTGGTATCATACAACACCGGCTAATCAACGACATTCCTCTCGAAATCGGCCTTGGCATGATACTTGAGGCTGTCAGAGACCACGATCCTCCGAATGATCCCATGTATAAGTTTGGGCTTCAAGCCCTCATGCAGCTTGGTGGTCGACTAGCAGAGTGGCCTGGTTTCTGCAATCAATTACTTGCTATCCCTGGTCTTCGAAATACCCCTCTCTGGACCACAGTATATGAAATCACGGAGAAGTTGCAGGAGGATGCGAGACACAGCGCTGATGGAGGCCAACACCAACTCATAAATGGTGGAGCTCTCACTAATGGCAACTTTGACGACATGGTCGAAAATACATGCACCCCATTTAGTGCGTTGTGGGTGGACGAATCTTACAATGCAAACTACGAAGCCCCTAGCAGCGATATCCAAGAAAAGATTCAGTTTGTGATGAATAACATCACAGGTGAAAACCTTCATGAAAAATTCGAGGAACTAGAAAAGCTGGTCGAGGAGGACAATCAACAATGGTTTGCAAGTCTCCTAGTCGAGCAGCGTGCGAAAAGAGAGGCGAACAACCATAGACAATATATGGAACTCGTTCGACTGATTGGCCGCAAATCACTATATTCGGAAATCCTGAAAGAAACATACATCAGCGCCTTCAGATTGTTAAATTCCGAAGCTATTGCACAGTCTGCGAATGATCGTATATTACTTCAGAATCTCGCCACTTGGCTGGGTATGTTGACGCTCGCTCGGGACAAGCCAATCAAACACCAGAACATTGCCTTCAAGCAATTGCTCATGGAGGCTTATGACACAAAGCGACTTCCTACTGTCATTCCGTTCGTCTGTAAAGTTCTTGTACAAGGAAAGAACTCTACAGTCTTCAAGCCCCCGAATCCTTGGATTATGGACATCATTCAGCTGTTGATGGAAATATATCATCACGCTCCACCCGCAGAGCTGAAGCTCAACCAAAAATTTGCGATCGAGGTTTTGTGTAGCGATTTAGAGGTAGATCGCGAAAGTATTGAGACCAACGGTGAGATCCTGAACCGAGCACCCGTCGAGGAGGCCACAAATGTCATGGCTGAGGTTATTGAGGGATATGAAAATATGTCCATGAATGGAATAGCACCCGGTCTCGGAAGTGGACGATTTTCACCTGAGCAGATTGCCAGATCTCTACCAGACCTAGGGCCAGATCTCAGCCTCCCACCAGCCAATGATATGGTCAATCAACCTCGGTTGCACGAAATCCTAAGAACTGCCATCACGCGGGCCGTAGCAGAAATCATATCTCCAGTTGTTGAGCGGTCTGTTACCATTGCCGCTATTTCGACTGCCCAAATGATTCACAAAGACTTTGCCACGGAGCCAAGTGAGGAGAGAGTTCGTGCTGCCGCTATCAATATGGTCAAGAAGACTGCAGGAAGTCTTGCACTTGTCACGTCTAAGGAACCATTGCGCGCGAGCATGACCAACTATATTCGATCGACCTCAGGCGAGCTTTCACAGGGACTCCCCGAAGGAACCATCATCATGTGTGTCAATTCCAATCTCGAGTTAGCTTGCCGACAAGTAGAAAATAAAGCAGAGGAACGTGCTGTACCTGAAATCGAAGAGATGATGGATAACGAGCTTGAGAAGCGTCGCCTCCACAGACAGATGAGACCTGATGAGCCCTACTACGACCCGAATGAATTAAGTCGTTGGTCGTGGACAATTCCAGCCCCCTACAAGCTCCAACCCTCCATGGGTGGTTTGAACGAACAGCAGATGGCCATCTATGATGAATTCGCTCGTCAGCCACGCCCACAGTCTCTTCCTGGCACAACTCATGTTGCGTCGGCCTCTGATGCTACAAGATCTATGGCAAATGACATCTTGCAAGATCAATATGCAGCAGTACCACATCTACCTGCCCCTGCAGAACCTGCTCCTATGCCCCATATCACGAATCATCAGGTTCCTTATGCACAGCCAAATCCTAGCATGGTCAATGGTCGACTACCGGTCATCCCACAAATGGATGCAAGAAGCCTTTTGGAAAAATTCGAGAAGACTCTCCTTGAACTGAAGCGTGTCACCTCCGAAGCTCCAGAGCGCCACTATAAAGATCTTGGACGACACCAACCAAACCAGGTTCATGATGTTTTTGATAACATGTGCAATTCAATTTTCAAGTGTCTTAACAGTCCTGCGGATTTGGATATTTTAATGGTGGATCAGCTATGTGGCTTCCTGTTCAGTGGGCTCACTCAAGACCTTCTCGTTGAATGTCTTGTTGTAGCCTTAAAGCAGATCATTCAACTGGGCGACAAGTTCACCAATCGCATTGCTCTCCGAATAGGTCAACAGCCAGGCGAAGCACTCATTAACGTGCCACTCGCCGCCGCCTTGATTGAAGTGGGAATGCTTGAGTGGCAACGTGTGGACTCGGCTACCTCAAAGGCAATTCTACTTCGTAAGGTGGAAGCACTTGAGTTCTTAATGGCCATGGTCGACAAATTCATGTGTAGCGACAACCCTTCGGCGCTTTACACCGACCTCGCACGAAGTTTGGAAGTTGCATGGCTATGGATCGAAGAAGAGCCTACAATGGAAATCGGTCAGCAGCTCAAGCAATCTATGAAGACCTCTGGCATTCCTCAGCTGGCAAATCGAGTGGCTGATGACCGGCTCTCTGTTCGCCAAAACCAGATGGAATACGTCTTTGATGAATGGATTCATCTGTACAACAACCCGAATGCTTCCGAGAAGGCTTCGGCGGAATTCATCAGTCAAATGTACAGAAATCAACTAATCAACGACCGTGATGACTTGTGCATCTTCTTGCGAATATCACTTGATTCCGCAGTTGAGAAGTTTGACCAAATGTTGCACATTGGCACTACCAACGAGGCTTATATCCCAATTGATGCTTTGGCTAAGCTTGTTGTACGACTTGTCAAGAGACCAGAAGATGACGGAGAGGTCAAGAATGACAGAGCAGCTTACCTCGGTACCATACTCTCTCTTACTGTATTGGTACTGAACCACCACCATCTCATGCGTGGCGAAGCTTTCAACCAAAGAGTCTTCTCCCGTTTCTTCTCTACGATGCTCGGTGGACTGAAGCCTGTCGACGGTGACGTCTTAAGTGATGAGGAGTATCACAACATTCTCCTTACAGTCAGTCACAATCTTCTCAAAATACAGCCAATAAACTTTCCTGGTTTCTTGTTTGCATGGCTTGCCTTGGTTTCTCATCGCGACTTTATGCCAATCATTTTGGGGATACCCAACCAGGCCGGCTGGGAGACTTTCACCACCTTGATGGAAAGCTTGATGGTCTATGCTGGAGAACTTTTCAAACCACTACACTTGACGGAACTTGCCAAACGCCTTTATGGTGGATTACTGAAGATACTCGTCGTCTTGCAACATGACTTCCCAGAATATGTGGCAGCCAATCACTCTCGACTTTGCGCCAACATTCCAAGTCACTGTATTCAACTTCTCAATGTTATCCTCAATGCGAATCCAGCACCATATTCAAAGTTCCCGGATCCACTTCAGCCTGGGTTGAAAATTGATCGCATCGAGGAGATTCGCGAATCCCCCACAATTTTGAATGATGTGGAGGCTACACTACAGCAAAGTGGTTTGCTCGATGTTCTTGACCAGGCTTTACATAACGGCCCTTCAGAAGATGCCGTCGCTCATATTGCACATGCTATTCAACGCAATACGGGGGGCCAATCTGGACTAGGTTTTGTCCCGATCAATGTCGATCGAAAACTTGTTGAAGCAATTGTTATCTACGTCGGGATACAATCAATTGCCAGAGCTACACAGAACGTTGCACCTACATTTGTCTCGGGTTCTCCTGACGCCGCACTGCTTACCATGCTGGTGCACGAGTTGCATCCCGAGGCACGCTACTATCTCCTCAGCAGCATTGCCGACCAACTGCGATTTCCAAACACCCATACCCACTACTTCAGCCAAGCTTTATTAGAAGTGTTTGGAAACGATATGAATGATCAGGAAGAGTCTGATATTCGTCAGCAAATAACTCGCGTCTTGCTGGAGAGAATGGCTGGGCAGTGGCCTCAACCCTGGGGGCTTATTGTCACTATCCATGAGCTTGTCAAGAATGACAAGTACATGTTTTTTGAGCTGCCATTCATCAAATCAGCCACTCCAGACGTAAGTTTCTACTGGAACCGAATTAGCAATAGCGGCTAATTTGTGTTTCCAGGTTGCTGATCGTTTCTCGGCTATTGCGGCTCGTCCCTATTCAACCATTTGATCATAGAGCGTATCTATTGATTATCAAAACGGATCATCGACAAGAATGATTCCAATGACCTTTCTCATTCTCCCTGGTCACGTCACTACCACCCTTAATCAAGAAACCACCGTCATCTGAAAAACGGCTGGCTTTCTAAATGTTACATATTCTATCAAGCACGACTGGCGTTCTCTCAAGGGTTTGTTCTCTGCATAGCGAGCGAGGGGGTGGGGATATTTGCAAAGATTTGCGGTCACTTTGGGGGGCGGGGACGGGGTTTCAGGGAATTGAAAGGGCTTCTTTTTCTCTCTTTCTCTCTGCTCTTAGTTAATGCATCCTACATGATAATGTTTCTTCTTCTCTTTTTCTTCTGCTTTCTAGTTGCAGCAGGCCCCTTCTTTGTATGAGAGACGTTGGAGGTTTTCGAGGGCGAAAAATCTTTTGTTTTCCGGGCATGAGGGCATGAGGGCATGGAGGGCGTGGGGTAACAAAATACAGACATTGGCGGGGCGAAAGGGTTCTTTTTTTGCTTAAGTAGGTCTGGGTGTAAGCAGGGGTTCTTCTTGTTTGTATGTATCATAAAATGGGAGTTGTGATTCTTTTCTTCAGGCAGTATTATTTTAATAAGTTCAGTGGGTTTCTTGAGTGTCTTTTTTGTTGGGCGATGTGAGATTTGTGATGTTTTCAGGTTACAGAAGGGTTAGGCTGAGTGCAGGTGTGTCTTACTGTGTGTGAAGATGCGATTGGGTGATGATGTTTTTTGTGGTGTTGGCGGCTGGTGGCGGCTTGAGGTGGTGAGTGTTTTTTAAGGGCATCTGATATGATCTGGTTTGAGATACTGGTTCTTCTTGGCTTTGTCATTAGGGAAGTCATACAGTATGCTATTATATTGGATGTTTGAGGGAGCTCTGAAACTTTGCAAAATGGATTGATGAAATTACGATACTGTAAGTAGATTCGTTGCCGTCGTCTGGTTGATAGTATGATAACTGGGCGAGCCGCGAAACTCTGGACACATCTTTAAACCCCTATTATACTAGTATTTCTCGAACAATTAGCTTCATTGTCCGAAGTCACTTGGGTTAATGAGGATATATTGTTTTCGATTATCAATTATCCTTAGTGGCTTGGAGAATGATTTTAGTTGTATGAGGGTTTTGGGAAAATAGCTCAGTGTTGCCAATGGATGGTTATTAATGGATGGTTACCATAACCAATAGCTTATTAGTGGTTTAGTTATTAAATTTTGAGCAAACCATTAATATATGGTGGTTTAGTTATAGATTTATGTGTAAACCAGTTATTTAGCAGTTCCTTAATGGTTTTTGCTTAGTTATCATATACGTGATACGTTTGGTGCTATTCTAAGATTCCGAGGAATATTCTATCTATATTATCCAACTACTACTATTAAAACATGATAATGTAAGTGGTTATGTGACTAGCTTATGTTATACCTATCAGCCACTATAAGCTAGTTCTTCTTTAGAGTTCTAGTAAAATCTATTATTTGAGCATAGTACAACAAAGGAGAGAGTACTTTAGATTACAGGAATCAGATATATAAATAACTTCTTTTTAAGTTCATAACTTCTTAAAACCTATAGTTAATAGTGGTTACCATTAATTAACCGGTGGTTAACTACGATTAACACAGTTAACCAATGGTTACCGTTGTCCTATTGGTTAACTACTTTACTATTGGCTAACCACCATTTATGACGGTTTGGTTTGGTTATAGCCTCTAGCTTAGTGGTCTGGTCTGGTTTTGCTATAAAATTAATGGTTAACCATCCATTGGCAACACTGAAATAGCTCTTTCTAACCCCCCTTAGGTGTGTGCAGAGTTTCGTCGAACTGTCGCACCTTGTATGTGTGTTGCCCTAGATCAAATATTTTCAAACTTAAAACATGGAGGAGGGACGATGTAGATAGAGCCTGTTTCTTTGTATGTGGGCTTTGTGGTTGTAGACTATTATGTTGGGGTTAGGTAATACGTGAATTCTTGGCTATTTCTTTTGGAACACTGGGAGGTAGAGTGCCTCTAGTAGAAGTTGGTTTACGGAAAGGTATCAAGGTCATTTTTGGTTTCGTATAGCTTAGCTTAATTTTAGGGACTGCAGATATTAAATCCTGCTCTGATTGCGACTGTAATTATAAGGTTGATATAGATCTAAGGGGACAATCGGATGTATTATAGCTGCCATCCCCGCCCTGCCCTCGCTGGAAATGCATCATTCATTCCCATGGGCTTTTTCGCTTATTTAGATTTGATATGTTAGAAACTAGGAAAGTAAGTGAATAGAAATTAGGCGTATGGACTTTGAGTAGCTGACTGTCCGCTGTGATATAACCTCCCTTGTTAACATGGTTCGCTCTTATTTACATAAGACAGTTGGGCGAAACTCTATATACACCCTAAGAACCTATTATACAATTTATACTAGAACTCCTAAAACGATCAACTTAGTCGTCCTAAATGACTTGGATTAATGAAGATATGTTAATTTGGATTATTCAAAATGGCTCGTATAATAGTTTTAATTGTACGAGGTTTTTAGAATAATTATTACTCTAACTTAGATGTGTCTAGAGTTCCGAACTTCCGCCTAACTATTTTACCTTCGGCTATAAGCGAAGGAAATGCGATTACTATAGTATAGCTACAGTAAATAAGTAAGGCCTTTCGGCTAAGATTATGATATTAGTATACTTTAAATTTTGCTTTTCTGGCTCCTAGTTTAATGGCATTGTATAACACTATGAGAGTACCTACCTAACGACTGTTGATTTTTAGGTGGTAGGATGAATCATGTGACATAAGAAAATCTTGGATTGTGTTTAGTATAAACGTCTATGGTTAAGAAGCAAGGTTTTCAAAATGAAAGCATGTATGTTCTTCCTATTACTAGTTATTTGCAAGTCAGAGGCCACAATTCTTACTAAGGTATATAAACTAAGTTTTAATTCAAAAGCCTTACAGGATTATTTAAGCGACTTGGCAAAGCTTGTTCTAACAGAGTCACTTTAATAGTTACGGCCTACGGTATGAGTGAGAAATATTCTATTGTAGCGATAGACAATTCTAAAATCAAAACCTATTGAGAGTGTCTTCCCTTTGAGCTCAATACTGCTACATAGGGAAATACGCATGAAATCCCTCCGTCCGGAAAAACCCCCCAGCTGACATAGCCAATTCGGAAATGAGAGGAAAAAACATGTTAAACCAAACCAAACCAAATCACATCACATTAGTCTTTAAAGACAATAACGCATGTGTAAGGATAAAGCTACTATGGAAGAACAGCTGGAATAAGCTCAACAAGTGTCTCAACATCCTTCACGAGTCCCTCAAAGAATTCTTCTACGTCGCAGAGTCCTGGCAACCAGAACAAAACGCTGCTAATCGCTTCGCCGTCGAAAGTTTCAGAGGTCGCGTAACACTTTTGCTTGGAAAGTGTACCAAGTGGCTCCCCTTTGCAATTGGAATTCTTGCATGCAATGACCTTTTGATCCGGCTCAGTGTCGGTGTAGATACTGGCGGCTTTTGGTTCAACGATAACGCAGTGGCAAATCGCTGTACCTTTCCATTTATAGTACTTGTCGTCGTTGCTAGAATAATACAATTTTAGCAGAGTCAGTTGAAAAAGAGCCTGATTTGTAGACCGTGATTCGATGGGAAGATCCTTACTTGCACTTCTTTGTATCATACATGGAGACGTGATTGGCGTTTCGGGGTAGAATGGTTGCGATGGCTGTCGCTTGTGCAGCTGTAGTGATAGAAAGAAGTGCTAGGATGGTAGAATAATGCATCTTTGAATAGAATGAGTTGCAGAAAAACGTTTTGCTTGAGATGTCTTGAGTTTCGTGTTGTAGAGATATGTATGGATAGATAAGGGTGGGTAGTTGAAAGGCAAGATACTGAGCTATATGTGGGCGACAGCTATATATATATGTATTTCGTGGCAGGGGCAACTTTCAATATTTGGACTGTCAATTAGGCCCCGTCATCTACTGACGCACTTCCAACCATAATATCATGATCTGCCTATTGAATCAGAGGCCAGAGAGAATTTCGCATGTTCAGCTCACAATAATACAAGCTACATATTCCTACGAAACTCAGCGTCTTTTCTGAATTTGAGCATGAAAGATTGCCGGAAGTAGATGCCGATGGTGAACTATCCACCGGAAGTCTACAGATGGCACACGAACCAACATCCTGACATCATTCGAAAGGACGTGGTGTTGAGGTGTTTATAGACCAACCATAATTATACCTGGTAACTCTTAATTTGAAACCAAGAACCGTTCTTACGTACAACCAACCAACAAGTCAGCGCGGCTCAGTGAAGATATATGGGACCTCTTTTCGCAAAGACTCTCCCCTGTCTAGTTCTTACGTTGATACTAATTTGTGATAGCGGAAGCGGCCAAATCACCCCTAACTTGGTTGACACATGGCAACTAGTGATAAAATAGGGAAAATAGAGGCGCACCAGATAACCTGTGGTTGTTCTACGGTTTCTATTTTTGGATATTGCGTTTGTCGTTCTCAAGGCAGGCAAAACTCAGTATCCCAGCTATTGCTTACTGTAGAAATTCAAACGTGAAGATATAAACCTGTGTCAAAAGTCTGATTGCTTGGCCACATTGTTTCAGAAATACCGGATAACCAGTATTTAAGATAACAAATTGTTCTAAAGTTTTCGTACAACTGCTTGTGTTGTATAAAGCTTGCTGGTACGAGTAATCTTAATATTTGCTGTAATTGGGTGCATCTAGGATCTTGACGCTCTTGCTACTAAAATACAGGTGAGTGCTAATATTTCAGAAATACCAAAGGGGTAGCTGGTCTGGTATCGGCCGCATTCCTGCATGTAGGGCTGATTTTCATTTTCATGACTTCTGGTGACCTCATTGAATCCCAACCTAGCCACCAACCAAGCAGTGCCACTCCTACTCCACAGGCAGATCTCCAACCTCTCTTCAAGGCAGAAAGTATCAAATGATGGGGCGTTTTCAGCTAATGACTGACTTCAGTTTTACATCTATTGAGTACCAACTTCTTTTTTTCTCCATAATTCCACCGGATGTCCACTTCCCTCCAACAATACCAGGATGATATCGGTGACCATATTTTAGGAAAACAGTCGATCTACGTTCAAACAACATTTTATCCACATTACACTGCCATCCAACACAAATCCTTCGGTGTTGGAGTTGTTTTAAGTTGATTTGCTTGCTAATTCATGAAATCATATTTAAAAATAGATTCGACACATATGTGTCTACTATATTACCAGTCTTGGATTTTTTAAACATATAATCTACTCTTCTTCAAACCATTGTTCTGTTCAACATACGATTTTCGATAAGAGGCCACCTTCATCCCATTTCTACCACATCAAACTCAATATGCTTCCCCAAAACATCATCGTCGGAATATTTGCCATTCTATTGGCTCAGGGAAAGATTACCAGTGCCATACCACTTGAACACTCCCAAACAAGGGAGGAGCGCGTTGACGGAGACACAGAACGCTCCATACTCAGTGCTCAAGAGCACGCTACCGACTCATTGATTACTGTAGCAAACGACAAGACTTCAACCGGTATCGCAACTAGCACAGAAAAAGGACTCATCGCCATCCGTGTCCCAGTACCAGATGGGGTCAATGCAATTATCGAAGGGCGTGCATTCGTTAGCAGCGGTGAATTTGGCGTGTGGATTAAAGATTGGGCCGAAACTATAGGTGCTACCGGATTTCTCTTCGTTGGCATGCCAGCTGGTTTAGTAGGAGTGGTTTATAGGAACATACCCCAGGTATATTTAACATGTCTTCTACATGATGTTACACACTAACTTGGCGTTCTTAGAACAGAAGAGATGCAGCTTTGGCATGGATGATCTGGATGGCTAGATGTGTCAGAGATGGTGTTTGCCTACGAAATGAAGCCGGTGAAATTGAAGGTGGCCCAAGTCGCCATGATGTGGAACTTGGCCATATTGCAGAAAGGCGACTTCATGATTTTGCAGTTACGGCGACAGATGCGGCTACAGATGGTCTGGGTGTGCCTCCAATTCCGGAAAATGCTGTAGCACCCGAGCACTGAGAGGCTGAACCATTGCGAACAAGGGAATTTTCTACCACAAAGTCGCAATTATTCTAAACCATTCGTATAATTGCTTTAGGGGGTGTTTGGCTACGCAAATCTCTCCATGAAAAACAGGTGCAAAAGTCGAAGATTTGCACGGGCTGGAGGACCCCAAGGGCTTATGCAAAAGTTTCCTGATTTACATACAAATTAGACTATTATAACAAAACAAATGCACCACTGTTTAGCTCCTACAAAAGTTTTTTCTGTGTCGTCGTATATTTGTCGATTTTTGTAGGTTCTGTCTATATAACTAATTTTTAGTACTATACTACGATTTAGTTAGTTCTATCCAAATAAGTACTTAACTGAGTAATTGTACTCCTTCTATCTTCTCTTTCTCCTTTAACTCTTTTAATTCTTTGACTTTTATATATATATATAATATAGCGCGAAAAAAGAAGACCTAGAATCCTACACTACTAGGTAGATCGTCTAAGGACTCTACTACCTAGGACTCTACTACCTAGGACTCCACTACCTAGGACTCTATTACCTAGGAATCGTTACAAAGTCTACCTTTAGCGCAACCTACCTAAACGTAAGTATTATAAGCTATAGCCTTATAAAAGAGAGGCTATTTAAAGTAGATAGAAGACAATATTTTTAAGCTCCTAGAGATTATATAAGAGAAGCGAGAAGACGGCGAAGTAGGTAAGAGTAACTTTCCTAAACAGATATAGAAGATATATAGAAATCGATATACTCTACGTAAACAAGACGCTCTTGTTAATCTAAATATAGTACCTTATAAAAGGACTTTAAAGTTATATATATAAACTCTACGAGAATTCTAGTTTTAGCTAGGATAAGGAAAGCTCTATTACTGCCGCGGATACACCTATCTAGGCTGATTATATCGCGGTAAATACTCCTTCTTTTATTTATTAATTAATCTAATATAATTATAGAAACACCTAGAGGTAAAATAGTAGAAGAAGAAGAGTTTTCCTTATTATTATACCCTTACTAAGCTTAATAAAAAGAAGGTTACTAGTAGTAAATATAAATATTGTCACGGGTCGAATGTCGCGATTCGGTTATTCTTCCTCGTGACCGCGGGACAAGTGGCTGCCTAAGCGAGCATGCATGTCCCACGCTTCAAGCAAACAAACAATGAAGGAAAACTCTTCAAGCAAACATGCCAACGCACAACTCCCTCAGAAAACTCTTTAAGCAAACACGACAACACATCAAATCCCTCATCGTGGCGTGATAAGGGATGTGGGAGACGCGGGGGATAAGGAGCTGTTGGGTGTGTGGTGTTTTGTAACGAATACTCAAACTGGCTAACTAAACTTGGCTGGGTGTTCGCTGGTTGGTATGCTATGATAAGATGAAGACTATCGGGTTGTTCACTTGGAAGTGAACTCGTTACTTGTATCAAAGATGTCAAACTAATATGATAAGATTGATAACTAAGTTGAGCACGAAGCTCCTATCTAATGGCAGACGTGCCAGTCTTATATAGAGGACCTTCGTTCTGTCTTGATCACTCTCATCGACTGTCGATGTTGGCGATCATCGCTTTCATCGACAACGATAATGTCGATGAAGCTTATCACGTGATTTCTTCCTGTGAAATCCTTGGATCGTCTAGCTAGTCTATTCGATCCCTATTTGCTATAAGAGCTTGTGATGTGCTTGACCTGTCAGGACGCCGCCTGGTCTTCACTCATCCCGTGACAACACGTGATTCGTGACAAAAGAAGCCTAAAAAGTTAGGTGAGGATAAAGGATTAAATAATAAGGAACTATAGTTAAATACGTAATAACAGGCTATTTAATTAATAAATACCTCTAAATCCTAGAGAGTAAATAAGCGTAGTTTATTAAGAGATCTATTATTAAGTAAACGATCGAAACCTTTAGGACCTAAGAGTCTTAATAATATAAGCTAGAGTATCGATCGAATAGTAAGAGCTATAGGAAGGAATGGAGGTTTGAACTGATTCGCGGACATGGAATGATCCATATTCCCTGAGGAGATGTGTCTGATACTTATCAGAGAAGGACTTGGCTTTGACTAATAACGTATCATTATTATCTTTCTTCTCCATAAAATTTAGGTTGAGTATCAAACAGCAGCGCCTTTAGAACCCTAACCTACCTGAACCATCCACCAAAAATAGGAACCAACTCCCATTTCTCTCCATTCTCCCCGTTGTCTGCACCCCTCAACTCCCACCTCCCAAACCCTAATATCCTTCAACAATAGGTAGCAACCAGCAAATCGACACTAAATCCCGTTTACAGCCTCAGCCGTGATGTGCTATCAGTTCGATTTTCGACGACTGGAAAAGAATACCAGTATTGTTTCAAGATCATGTGGATTGTTCCCTTGACGGACACACCAGCCTTGACCTAGACAGGTTCCCCGCAAGACATCCTTCTAGCAAGGTCGAGTCGTTGTGGGAAACCGTTGTGTGGGAAAGGCTGCTTAAGTAGTATTTAAATAGTTGTAGAAGAGAGTGGAGTTTGTAGGTAGGTATTTCTCTACTTCACTATGAACTTTTCAAGGCTAGTATCAGTTTGACAGTTAAGAGAGGCGAGCACTACTCTGTACACACCTAAGTAATGAAAACATTATTCTAAAGACCTCGTACAACTGAATTAATTATACGAATAGTTTAGTGTAATTAATAATTTTTACTCCTGATTGACCTAGGTGAAACAGGACAATTAACTTGCTTGTACCAGACTTTTGGCATAATGACTTTTGGTAGCGTGTACGGAGTAATGCCCGCCTCTCTTACATAGTCAGCAAGCCTCAATTCGACATTCCGTAATCTAGTTAGACATGAATATCAACATCACAAAAGCGATCGACGTAACAGCTTCAATTCACATCCAATCCCACAATAATAACTTCAAAGATACGTCTACATATGTTACAACAAATACTACAACAACCGCCTCAGGACTCATAAATATATAGGTAGGTATAGTATATCTACGAAGACCACGCTTTCCTTACCAGAGATGACCAATGGAGATAAATAGAGTAATTATCTCACGGATAAGTACTCAGAAAGCCCAACATTTACAAGAGAATGAATCTTCAACTAGCACTTCGTCCACCTCCCCGTGGACAAGAAAAGTGGCATAGATTCATTTTTCTAACTATTAGCTTAAATTAGTTCTAAGTACTAAAATGTCTAAAATATCTAGAACAATTACCTTTATCGTACTATCGTTTTCGATAAATTATTTTAATTGTTCCAAATAAATAATATAATCTAATAGTTTTAGTCAAGTTAGGATAAGATTGAAGAGGTCTCTGCCACTTTTCTTGTCCACTAGGGGATCCACCTCCCCCTTCCCTCCCTTCTCCCCCAACACTCACCTCCTATTCACTATACCAGTCCTGTACAAACTTCCAAGAATATTTGACAGCAACAGATATTCCGACAACAACCACAAAATCACAAATCACAAATTCAGATCTCTACTCCGTACCTCCCACCCAACTTTCTTTCCAAAGACTCCTCTGGAAAACACAACGAACCCCAAGTAGCCAACACCTTCACAAGAACCCAACCTGCACACACTCAATGCACAACGTCTTTGACGACAAACCAGATACATTAGGTTTTGCCAGCAATTTTCACATCGTCCATGATCTCCAGAAAAGGGAAATGAGGGTGTTTAAGTGCGTAATCTTACTCATACAATGATATAACTAAAGTGATTAAATATCCAAAAACGCACCTCAATAACCCTTCTTTTCTTTGAAGACCTCTATTCCAATCCCTATACCCCACACCCCTACGAAGTGATTCCCTTACAAAAATCAAAACCACCTACCTGACTAAGAATCTAACTTAAGTACTCCCAAACCACCATCACTTAAAAAAGAAGAAAGCAAGCAAAAAAGCAACAACTGTAGAACACAAACTTCTCGAAGAGCCCTGCGTGTAGAAACCCCACAAATTTTGCTTTGCATGCTTAAAATTACAACTACAAATAAAGTACCGATACTCAAACTCACACACCCAGGCTTTTTTCCACGAAATAAACTAGAAGGAAAGAGGAAAAGAGGCTATCCTGGTACAGCTCAGCTCAACGTGCGTGAAAATATAGAAGCTCCTCTAACGCCATACACCAATTGAAATGCTCCCCCCTCTTCGCCCCATACCATCACCATCCATCCTACACATCTCTTTCTTTAATTCCTCCACAATTTCATGTCTTGTTTTCTCATCCATCCACCGCTCCCTCCACCTCCCTCTTGTTCCTGCAAGTATTCGTTTTTCCCATCACCCAAGTCCCCCCGGCCCCCAATCATCAACGTATATATCATCTTCCCCATCCTCTCTTCCCATTCCACCCCCATCTCCCAAAGGCCTTTTAAATAATCATCTGCGCAACACCCTGACCCCCAAGCGTCTTACTCCCCACAAAGCCCTGGCCCTTAACCCCAGCCAGCGCATAGAACGCCGCAGCAAGGGTAAGCATAATCGCAGCTGCAATCAAAGAGCTGGCCTCGATGATGATGCTCAGCCATTGGATGATACCCATCACGAGGTAGATACCCGCGCGCATATAGTTGGTTGTGAATCGGCGCATGAAGGTGTCGAATTTACTGGAGGTAGGGCAGATTCGGAGGAGGAGCGGGATTTCGATGAAGATGATTAGGAAGGAACTTGCTCTGTGGCGGGTTAGTGGGGGGAGATGGGGGAAGGAGGAGAAGAGTGGGCGTACAGGCAGATAGCTCCGAACAGAATCATCAAGCTGACGTGGAAGAGATGGGAGATTCCGAGGGCGAAACAGAGGAATATACATAGTACACCAGTCCTGTTATCCCACATATTAGTGTCCATTATACAAACATGTGTTCATCCTCTAGCCCCAATATCCTTTCTCATCGGGAATCTCGGGAGGAGCTTGGTGTCGCGAAACTGGACACGCTTCGTGGTAGTAGCTTACCATTGACCGTAAATACCTACACCGCATAGATTAGCAATCTCTCCTTCCATCACATACCCGCAGATGGAACTTACTGAAATTCCTCGTCGCGAACTCCTCTGCGATCGTCATGTTTGCGGTTTGGTGTTGTAGTTGTAGTAGTAGTAACCTTAGTACGTGACCGAATGCGCCAAGGGTCCCCTTCTGACCAGACTCTTTACTTCAAAGTCGTAGATGGATCGTGATCGTGAATCAGAGAGGAAGGTCGTGAATTGAGGAGCGTGTGATGAGAGGAAATCGTGATTCGGGAAGTGTTGTGTTCAAGGTTGGGTTGGATGTTTTCTGATCGCTAATAGACAAACTGAAAGAAAGAGTAACCTTAAGGTTACGTGGATGGTTCGCTAACGCTGTTGACAAGGCTGAGCCCCCAACAGAGTCCCCAGGCAACAAAATTCCAGGGGTTGGCTTGGGTTTTACGGACTATTAACCTTTAGCTAGCTACAAAAATAAAATAGTTCATAAAAATAACTCAACCATCACAGCATTCTAAGAATCCAATAAAAAAAAACATCTAAATTCTCCGAAAAGTCACAATAAATAACCCCCAAATTTTAAGCAAGTAAAAATACCTACCACCCATCACCTGGTCTAAGGAACCCCGGAGCTGCCCATAGCCGTGGTTTCTGTTACATTAGGCAAACCCTTAAGCTTCTATTCCTTGATGCTCATTGGCCCAACTTCGCAAGTCGGATCTCCCTCCTTCAACATGGCTTTCTAAGTGGCTGTTTTATGGGTCTGAGCACGCACTGCGCAAACTGTCAATCTGTTAGAGCCTCAATGGTTACACAAGTTGGCCTGTCAAAATCTTGGTCCATATCTCTGTGGATACCAAAGGCTGCCTTGTAGCAAACCTACACGAATCCCGCTACGTAGTCTTCTCAGTCGAATCTACGGACCTTTGTGACAGAGGGGACAAGAGAAAATGGCAGCCTAATGGTGTACGAAAAACCGCGCAAGCGCGAATCGGCCGCGTAATACACATCACTTCTGGAACAATCGGTGGGGGCAAATATGTCTGCTCTAGATTGAGAGACGTGAATCCTTCATGATATACTCTTCTGTGCTCATCACAGCTTTCTTCCTCTAATATCTCGAGATGACCCATTCAACAACCTCAATATTGTCTCCATCAGGTTTCGGGTCTACTAAAACACCCTTCAAATGCCCACTTATCCGAATACCAACTTGAAGACGTCGTTGAAGATAAAGTAGCTTCCGGCACCGTCTGGGAGGAGTTGGAAGGCTTGACTGTAATTCATCGGTCGCTGCTCTTCGTCGACCTACAGGTAGAAGTTTCCGTTAGTTCTGGTACGCGCAAGGGGGCTGTGTGATGCGCTGGACTTGAACTCGAGTTCGAGCTTACCAAAAGAGCCCCAGTAACCAGGATCAGAATTCCGCCACTGGTGTTGGATGGTTGGGCATCAAGTGTGGACACGGCGTGCTTGACGCTTTGGAAAGGAAGACTCTGTAAGGTTCTTGATTAGAGTGGTTTATCGTCTCGAAGACTTGCGCAAACCTACGGAGAGTTTCTCGACGATAGGACCTGCGCCACCAATTGAGGCAGACTCGAAAGTCAACATGGACTCTTGGCGCTATGCCAGTCAGTATCCAGGTATCCTCCAGCTTTGTCTAAGACTCACATAGAGAGGGGCCAACTGTGATCTATCCTTGTCGAACTGGTTGTAGTAGTACTCAGTGAACTGCTCTGCAGGTGTTTGTCAGCCCTGTGTTGCGCATATGCAGTGGTATATTTGGAGGATGGGATTCTTCGTATATCGAGTCGCATATATTCGAGGACCAGAATATCAGTGGGGAGGCGTTTTATTACTCACTCGCGATTTCTGTGAAGTCTGCAAAGTCATGTTAGCAAATGCACTTGGTGCGCATGCGCTTTGAGGATGAAGCAAGTTATGGATACGAAATCTAGGATAAGCTACTTACCGGCCATCTTGTATTTGTGCAGGAGATTTCTTTTGGGAGATGTTCTTCTGAGCGAGTTTAGCTACAAGTTTCCAGTTGTGTAGTTTTGGTGGGGTAATGCAGAGATTGAGGGGATCTGGCGGGAGCACGGCGAGAAATAAAGTACGCTAAGGCGACCAGCTGGCCTAAAATGGTCTAGCGTGAAGGGACCTCCAGCTAAATTTACTGGTCTTTTTTCTTCGCATCATTTTTTCCTCATCCTCATCATCGCCAAACAACCATTCGCATCCTTTCACCACGACCTTGAGACGTCTCGTTATTTGACCCAGCAGATGCTGGAAGAGCCCAGCATGGTCAGACATATCTCAGAGCCCATGAGCTGGTCACTGTGAGGCTGTGTTGTCAGGTGTTTTGCGTTCCAACAACCACATGATCTTGTCAACTCACAGTACTTGGATGTGTGACGAGGACCTCGGGAGACTGGAGGAGGCTGAAATGCTGCTCATATCTCTGGAGTTCTACTGACGAGTTGCAAAATATCCGCAGTCACGATAGCCATGGTACGTTCAGCAAAATTTCTTATTCATTACTCTTTTCAAGCTCTTCCATTATGATTATAACTCTTTTGCCTTAAGAACGGCCAACTGAATGCTCATGTTGAACAAAAATAATGCATGTCAAGCTCAACAGAATGAATATGGATATCAAAGCCCCCTCTTTTACTCTTTACCTTTATTAAGTGGTGACTAACGAAAGAAATAGGAATCTATAGCTCATACCTACTTTATCCAAGTACCCTTCTGACATGACACCCGCTCTCAGCTGGACGAAGAAAAGACACTTTTGTCTAGTGATAATTGTGTAGCTATATTGGAGTATGAGAAGAGACTTGGAATTAGCAGTAATATCACAATATGGTACCTAGGTCATATCATAATACCTACAATACGTTCATGAATTTTGCCAACAAGAAAATTACCAACTCCCCACCAATGCCGTTGACAACCAACCAGAGCAGAACATATGTGTATCTCTTATCCTACTCCACAGCGGTGTAGCACAGACGTGTTCCTATTCTAATTTTGCTCTGCTGAGGCGAGTCAGGGAAAAAATAGTCAAAAAGGTACCACGGAACTCCAGTCAGGAACCCCTCCATTATGTGGTTCAACTAGGCTTGGCTCAATTTTTGTTGGAAGGCTAAAAGGCTGAAAAATGCAAAAAGTACAGACAACAACTCTGTAAATGTACATTGGTACATCGTAGGCAATGCTAAATATATACCTCCTGCGATTCACTGCCAAAAGGCTCCTGATTGCACAATGTGACAAGTTGAGGCCCTGGACTTTGTCGACAATTTTGCCCCAATGACAAGTCTGACGTGTGACCTGGTGCCACTAATTTTCCAGACCGCGTCGTCCATCAACACCACAAAAGATCGGTTACCTTTATTTGCTGGCTGCCCACCTCCACCTGCACCAGCACCTGCACCTGCAGCCGCAAAACTATTCGCAATTTGCTTTGGTCCCTTCCTTTCTTTGCAGCGATAGCCATAGCGATAGCAATCTGAACATCAAGCATCTCTTCGTCCACCCCGCCATCCATCCAACGCCAATCCGATTTACATGCCCCATCTGGAGCTTTGATCCTCGAAACCTCAGCCTCCCCACCGCCGCCAACACAGAAATACGAAAACCTCACCCTCGAGGCTCTCAACGCTGCGGAATTCGCATCTCGAGCTTGCCAAATCCCTTCCCTCGATCTACCTGCTGCGCAACCTTGGTTGCGGCGGCCATCAATTGAAGCAAGATGCCATGCTTCAAGGGCATTGCGGTCAGCGTCCACGCCGAGGGCGCTCCACTCCCAGAACATCAGGTACAGAAGCAATCGAGAGTCTCCCGCGTTACGACTTATATTCCCGTCCCGAAGCCCAAGATTCCACAAGATACAAATAGCAATAAGCCCGAGCCTTCCAAATTCGCAATCTCCATCACCTTGCTCACGCCCGGTCTGCCAGTTCCGTACTCAGCGCCAAAAGCAACACCATCAAACCCGTACCCCCAGCCTCACACCGTCGCTGGCTTGCCTGGTGGAAACCAGCGAAATGGCGGTACGGTGCCCCCTTACGTTCCTATTACCAAGTCTGAAAATGAAACAATTGCTGCCTACATCTACTTTGATGGTCGAGCAAAGGAGGAGGTCGCTACATTGTTACGGCCAGGTGAAGAAACATGGGTGAATTCGCGATGGGTTCAAGTGCCTGATTCTGAAGGAGGGGGTCTTGCTGAGAGAGAATTTCTGTTTCGGGAAGTCGGTTTGGAACGATGGTTGAATGGGCTTGACCTGGACGGACAGGACGCAGCGGCCAAGATTGAGAAGCGTAGACAGAAGTTTGAGAAGCGCCGCCGTAGAAGGAAGGATGAGAAGGGTAGCGATGATGATCTGATGTCTGCACGAAAACCTGCAGGATCCGGATCGAATGTCTTAAGATATGGGAATGACGAAAAGTCACCAGTTGAAAAGCTGTCTGACGATGAGGACTCATTTAGCTCTGATTCTGATGATGACCTTCCAGAAGCTGCTGGTCAAATAAAGGTTGCCATGTTCCGTGTTCTGGCTTCTGGTGAGATCAAGAGAGGAGAGTATTCGCCACAATTTGACGCACACGATGATGATGAGGAGGGATCCAAGAATAAGGAGGGTGGTGAGGGGGCCGATGTTGACCATACCACAAGTTTTGCTAAACCAAAGACACTGGATCCAAAATCTATCAGTACCCAAACTGTCACTGGAATAGACGGCCCAGACAAGCCTTTTGCTGTTTTCACTTTCTTTTACAGAGGCGAACGTAAGTCACTTTGGCCCTTTATGGTCACAATTCCTTTCACTAACGATGTTTGTAGGACAATTGCAGAAGATGGGAATATTAGCTTCAAAACATCAAAAAGCAACCAGTGCTACCAAGCGACGATCAACCCAACTCGACTTTGGAAACCTTACTCCTCTGAAGCCTGGTGGAACAGTCGGATTTTCTACATTTAGAGATACAGATGGGTCCAATCGCAAGAGTAAAGCAAGGAAGAAGAGCAATGGGAGTGTGGGTGCCGGCGCTATGGATGAAGACAGTGATGATGACGACGACGATCCCGACATCTTGAAGATGGAAGACGTAGAAGATAAAGACGTAAAGACGAAACTGAGCCCAGATGATGCCAAGTTTCAGGGAGAATTAGCTGATGGTGTGAGACAAATCAAGGTGAGTTCTTTACACCATTTATCTGAAAACATAGCTGACTCAAATATAGCTAAAACGCCAACACTCTTTTGATCCAAACTCCCGTCCATCACCTGGCTCCATCGGTACTGATACCCCTCCAGCAGAAGCGGATTTCAATCTTCTTCCAAGCAGTATCTTTGGCGGGGCCGTACCTGATGACAGTAACATCGGTAGTCCACTCAAGAGGCACAGAGCCAGTCTAAATGGTCCTGAGATGGACACTATGCAAAAACGCCTAGGAATGGGATTTGCAAGCAGTTTAGGGGATGTGGTGGCTGCGGCAGAAGCTGCTCACAGTCCATTGCCAGCGCCAGCGATGAATGAGGATGAGGAGTTATAGAAGATGATGTTACGGGATTGAACGAATGGAATTACGAATCTATTGCCGGGTCTCTCGGCTTGCTCGCTTGTAAACCAAACAAAACCTTTGGTATTTGGAAAGCAGTAATTGATGACAGCAATGAATTGAATGTGGACATGGGGGTTTTGGGGGGACTGGGAAACGAAGATGAAGGGTGGGTCTCAAACTCGGCTCTTTGGGTTGGGGGGAAAACATGAAATGAGCCTGAGTGATAAATGCCTTTTACTAGGTGGCGGCCTGTTTTCCTTCTGGCATGTTGAGGATTATTTGTATGGATTGATTCTACAATACCCAATCCTGGCTTTCTTTGCGGATAGCTAGGGGTTTACTTTACTAGTAGTACACTTATGCATAGCTTTTGTTAGCGGAGGCTTAAGTAATAAACGTATTGAGATATCTGGTGGGGTTCTTGATGTATGACGTGATGTTTATGTACTGATGTGAACGATTGTCCCTACGAGGGAAGACTCCGAGGTTGGAGACGACTTCTTGATAGCGGGGTATCGACACTGTGTAACCATCCTGCATACGCATACGTAGGTCAGGTAAGGCAGCAGCTACTGTACCTACCTACTTGTATGCATGTCTCACTCCTAATTGCAATTGCTCCACCTCACAAACTTCTACTGTTAGGTCATTTTTGTCAGGAGCTGTCTCACGAAAATCTTCTTTACTATGTTTCCACATCTCACCTCCAGTATCTCAACTTTTGCGATCCTGGGACTATCTCTCGTCTTACTAGCGGCAGTTCAACAGGAACGATTGGGAGATGGGAGATTGGAAGATGGGAAGGAGGGTGCAAATTCCAATTCCAATTCGAACCCGTTTGATGAAGGGTTCAAGAAGTTGGCTGAGAGGGAGTTGGAGAGGTGGAGGGTTCCGGGTGTGGCGGTTGCGGTTGTTGATGAGGGGAAGGTTTGGGCTGAGGTTTGTTGGTGTTTTATTGTTTCCTTTGCATGGTGGACTTTCATTTTTCACGTCGTGAATGGTGAAATGAGTGCTCCAATTCTGAAGGGGGTTCTTTCATGGAATCGAAAATGGATGACCCCTTTGAAGAAAGATGGAGGAGAATGTCGGTTTCTTCTCGTGATTCATGGGGACTCGAACTCTCTTTTGAGAGATCATGGAGTTGGGAGAAATGAAATGAGCAGAACTGAAAAGAACATAACAAGTCGATATACTAATCAAGATACTCCAACCAGGGCTACGGTATAGCAAAATTCCCAGACACACCAGTAACACCCAAAACACTCTTCTTCTGCGCCAGTACCACCAAAGCATTCACAGCCGCTGCCCTCGCACTCCTTATCTCATCAGGTAATCACTCCTCTCTGGTCTCTGGATGGCGAACTCCGGTTAGTGAGATCATCAGAGGCGATTTCGTGATGAAGGATCCGTATCTCACGCAGAAAATTACGATTGAGGATATTCTTAGTCATCGAACGGGATTACCCAGTCATGATATGAGTTATGGGGGCAAGGATGGGGAGGGAAGACCTTATGCGATTGGGGATGTGGTGAGGGGGTTGAGGGATTTGGATCTCACGGGGGGGTTGAGGGAGAGGTTTCAGTATTGTAATAGTGAGTTTTTTTGTTTTTATTTTTGTTGTTGATTCGTTTTTGTTTCTGGGGTTGAGTGAGAGATGGAGGATAATGGAGGGTCAATGTGTGAATTTGGGACGTTGGGTAGAGATGGCTGACTTGTGTAGTAATGTATATTGTGGCTAGTTATGTGATTGAGACGATTACTGGAATGTGGTTGGGGGATTTCTTGAGGGAGAGGATTTGGGAACCGCTTGGGATGGAGAGTACGGTATGTTTTTTATCCTTCTTCTGGATTTTATGTGGTGTCTGAGAACAAGCGAGTGCTTTGCTTTGACATGTTGAGATTCTTCTGGCTGTAACTTTAGGATGAAAGAATACTCACTCCACTGATATTTCTTCTGTCCTGAGAACTCTTGTTCTTCATATCCCAGGGATCCTTCACATCTCACCTATCTATATCTCATCATATTTGCTCCCCACAACTGACAAAACAACAGTACTTCTCCGTCAAAGACGCTCTAGCCGCCCCTGAGCCTCTCGCGCAAGGGTATATCTACTACGAAGACAAGTTCCAAGAAGTCCCCATAATGGACTTTGCAGTTGTATCAGGAGCCGGTAGTATAATCTCCAACCTTCTCGACTATGCCAAATGGTTGAAAGCTTTACTTTCTCACTCGGGTCCACTATCGAAAGAGGACATTACCGCTTTACTTACGCCACGTTCATTTTATCCACCTACCTATGACCCGGATCCATTCACGGGTTCTAGTACCTATGCGCTTGGTTGGAAAGTTGGTGTTTATCAGGGGTATGAGTTCTTTTCACATGCGGGGGGTATGGAGGCTTTTGGGGCGGAAGTTAGTAAGTATTCATTTTTAATTCTGAAGAAAAGCTGTGTAACACATTGGTCGATATGCAAAGGACTGATCATTTTGTTTTGGCAGTTTTCTTCCCAGCTCTGAATTACGGCGTCGTCGGTTTTGGAAATACGGGCGGGACGTCGAATGCTGTTGAGCAGGTTCTTCAGTGGCAGCTCATTGATGATAAATTGGGTATCCCAGCCGAGAAACGGATTGATTGGAATAAACTGTAAGTTCCTTCCCACTCCCAACTTTCCCAGAAACACTTTTTTCTTGTTACCCGAGGGTGAAAATTACTTCCTCAATCCAACCCCCTCCCATCACCAACAAACAATCCTCAGATCCCATCCTAACCCTCCCAGCAACACCGCCTTCCACCACTCCCTCCAAAAATCCCTCCAAAACGCAACCCGAACCCTCTACCCGCACATCCCCACTCCACCCCTGCCCCTCTCCCGCCCATTAGAATCCTACACAGGAACCTACACCCACCCAACCTACCACAACCTCACCCTCTCGCTCTGTCCTCCTCACTACTCGCCCTTCATCCCCCAGAAACTATGTGCGAAGCGCGCGAATGCGACGTGGAAGCTGAAAATGGATTTCGTGCATGTGAGTGGCGAGTTCTTTGTTGTGGATGCGGATTTTCTGGTTGCGCCTGGGGGTGTCACGAAGCAAATTGTGCCGGCGGAGTTTAGGGTAAGTGCAGAGGGGAGGGTGGGGATGTTGGGCGTGGGGTTGGAGAGGGAGATGGGGGTNCAAATTGTGCCGGCGGAGTTTAGGGTAAGTGCAGAGGGGAGGGTGGGGATGTTGGGCGTGGGGTTGGAGAGGGAGATGGGGGTTGGTGGGAGGATTTGGTTTGTGAGGGTGGAGGGGTAGAGGGGATGTGAGGGGAGTTTATGAGATGGGTTTGTGGAGGGGGGATTGAGTGGGTGCTCTTGTTATGTGAAACTTTTCTCAATGAAGTGACGGATATCGCGGTAGCCTCTTGGAGTGACACAAGAGCGAAGGGCAATGGTATCAAGAGCATCTAACAACTCTGTATATATCCAAACTGGGATCCCATCAGTGGCTTTAATCTGGGCCTTTTGAAAATAGTCAAGCTATTCATTCGTCTTATGCATCCGGAGTAGGAGTGAGTGTCATATATAATCTGTTGAACAACGTAGACTGGGGAGATCAGAGCAGAGGTAAATTTATGCCGAACGTGGGAGTAGATGTTTCCTCGCCTGGATGGGCGCAGTCTTACTTTATGGTTGTGAGCGACGGGATGTTTTGAGTGGTGGTTAAGTGATAGTGTAGTGCGAGACCTTGTGTTTTATTAGAAATATGGAAATTTGAACTTGGAAATTAAATACTTCGTATAAAGATATACAGCGTTGGTTTGATCCAGGAATTAATGGGGTTAATGTTCATGAGCTACTTATATGCATTTTGTCTACCAGAGGGTAGGACGGTATGTGGTAGCAAGGTTCATTAAGCGATTTTGGGACTTGGGGGGTTTCTTGGTGGGATTTTGAGGAGGCAAGGGTTGAATAAGTGTTTACGGATATATAGGAGGGGTATAATTAAGGGGTATAAGGGAATAAGTGAGGGAGTGAGGGAGTGAGGGAGTGAACGGGTAAGTATAAGTGTTTTATCAGAGTTTACCTATGAGAGAGAGAGGTATTATGGGGAGTAGTATATGTCATATGAAGTTGGGGGATTGTATTTCGGTCGGTGTCATCTTTGAAGATTCTTTATGATATTTTATAATAATCTTTGTTACATAAAATTCTTTTGTACTGTTACATAATAAGGAGGAAGTGTGATAGGTACTTGGATACCTTCGCTTAGACTTAAGTCGTTGACCTGGTTAATCTGGTTGATCTGGGTGATCCGCGGACTTTGGGTAATAGTTTTTTGCTTTATATATGTTGAATCTACTTTATTATTCGGCTATGTTGTGGATTTTAATTGTCTGGGTGCGAAGGTTGATCTTTTTTTAAGTTCGGTTCTGAATAATATAAGATTTATAGCAGATGGTCTATTGAGCTGACCCCAAGATCATCTTCAAGCTCAAAGACGGAAGACTTGGATGGAACAGAAAACATTAAATCACCCTTCTTCTGATCTCGACCTGGCTTGAATTCCATCATATCTCCGACGAGAGATCTACTGTAACTCAAGATACAAGCGACCTTGTGCTACCACTTCCATCATAGCTACTACTAACCTCAAAATCCCACCTGAATTTAGGTCGTTCATCATTCGATTTCTCATTTCCGCTTTAGAACTTATTGTCAATATCAAATACTCACTTATAGAGAACAAAAAAAGGTGAAACTTATGCATGCGTACGCTCATAGAGGACCATCATCTTTGAGCCCTACTGAGATAACCGGCCACCATATTTCTTGTGGGATTACATAATTGAAGACCGACGTCCAACATTTCCCGTTGAGATTGGTGCTTGAATTCTCACTCGAGAATTCGCATTCGGAGCATGCAGTGTACCCGTTGCTTCTCCAGCCCGTAGTAAATCACCTGTCACTCTTGGAGCCGGTAATGGAGATGCTATTTCTTTGATTTCAATAGTACAGTAGAGCTATAAAATGGAGAGGGTAAGTGATAAGCTGCAGAGGGGGTTGGCCGGGAGTTATAATAGGTAGGGGCTTGAATGGTAAAGAACGGCAAAATCAGCTCTGCACCCTGTGTATGTCCTGTTTTTACGAACACACCCCATCCATCATTTTGCAAGGCAGATGCTCATTTACGAGGGGAATTGGGAAGTGGCCCAGAATGCTTGGCTTTTTACTAATTGAAAACTCAGCCCCAACAGAAGGCTTATCTCACCAAACTTGATGAAATGTACTCGAATATTTGATATGTGCTATTGTAACCCTCAAATTGACGAATTGATCAACACTACCAGTGATTCGTCAATTAGTACGTATGGTGGAATAGACAGTATTATTTGATCACTTCTAGGATGCGAATTATTCGCCATTTAAATTAATAATACAAGTCAATTATTAATTAAAGCACACCCCTCGCCTAGGAAAACAAATAAAGTAACCCAAGATAATAAGTAATTAAAGCATAATGCCTCGCAAGTCTACTGTATCCAGACAAGCAAAAAGTGAAGCTATTCCCAGATAAGATTATTTCGCCTTTGGTGTACGTCCGGCACTAGCTCTACGGCGACATGGGCGGGTAGGAGTGGTTGTGAAGCAACAATAGGAAGGGAACATAGACCCTTATATAGATTTGTATGTTGTGTGGTGTTTACTTGCCACATTCCATTCCTCATTCCATACCCACTACCCCACTGGATCCACACCGCAACAAGCTACACAGATACTGTAATTGTATGCTAGCACTGTATGAATGATTTCATATGTCTGACACTCAAATGTCATTGGGTATTCTATGTAGAACCCAGCTTCTTTCCAGGCAATTCCAAACTCGAAGGCACAGGTTACTCCGCTGAAGGAAAAGACATTCTGCATTATCCCGGTAGTAATTTAGAAAATTGCTTACTGCATATTACTTTAGCTAATCTCGCTCAAATGTAGCCTTATGCAAAAACCTTTGTGGATGCACAAATGAATGAAACTCGGGATCGTCGAGGAGGAAATGAACAAAGTGACAAAAGCTGGGAAATATAGCTATGTAAATTGTAGTTGGATTTGCTTCCTCATTAATTCTCCTGTCTTGGAGTTCAATAAGTGGTGAATCGAGGAAAGGTGCTGCCTGCTTATCGGAGAGCATGTATTAATATCAATTTACTGGTAAAGTATAGGGAGAGAGACTGCTCGCAACAGCAGTGAACACCAGAACACTGAGCCCACATATTGCTCAGCATCACTACCTTGGTGTTCTGCATAACTCAAGATCGCGAGAATTGAAGCCGTTAGGGGCTCTAAGCGAAAGAGTGCCTCAACCCCTTCCATAAACCTCCATCTAAACAAAAAACGTTCGAAAACGATATTACTGTCGAAAGTCTTCCTTTATAGGAGCCTCACTCGCCAGCCCTCTTGTATTCTCCATCTGAAAGCAGGCAGTGAAGACGAGTGCCTGACTCATAACAGTCTTCGTGGATTTGATTGTACCCCAATTCTCTATCAACTCACTGAAGATATCCAGGGAGTCACTCGGCCTTTGGCACTGGCGAGCTGACAGTCGCAAATCAGATCCCACTGATCTTCATCACCTTGAGTGAATGGTGTAAGGAGATACTGGTTAGAACCAAGGAAGTATATCGGACCCCGCTACGGTGATGGCCTAATCCCTCTTCATTAAATATTTGTATCGTTACACACCGGAGTGGCTGTCGTTGCTTGCGATTATATTCTTTAGGACTAGAGAATAGCAATTCTATTAATATTTATATTTACTTCGCCGTCAAAACTCTACTAGGCTTATGGCGGATAGAAAAAGGGTAGATGGCGGAAAACCTCTCTATCCATCATATTTTGATATTTTTCAAAACTTCACTTCTCATACTGAGTATCAATTCGAACCACTAAGCCTCTTTACATACTTCCCAACTACCATACTCCTAGATTTTGAAGACTGAATGACCTGTATAGTATTAGACTTACAATAATGGAAACTTGCTTTGCATCCATACATATACGGAATGCTGGCTCTAAACTTCCTTTTTTTGAATAGCGTAATTGAATCCAGTGCCTAGATAACTTCCAATCCACATCTTTTGTCAAAGGTATTATCGTACACAATGTTTGGAATAACGAAATTAGAAGTAGGCCCTTACGGAGTAGGCAAACCAGATAACAATTATCAACAATTAACGGGAGTATTCAAGATAGAAGGATCCCAGGCTTTAGAGCAACGCCAGCAGCCAGCTAAGGTATCCGGTGCTCCTCGAAAGCAATCTGGCAACTTCAATAGCACACAAGCCTACGTACTAACCGAGCCGTCCTAGGTTCATGAAGCTTCTCTATCCCAGAAACTAAGACCAGCCTCACGATTCTTACAAATCCGAATTTGACACATGCAAATTAGAAGTTGCTGCCGTTTCGAATTTCACTTACGATATAAAACATGAGTTCAGTAAGATGATCTGCGAGTGGGAGGAAAAAGCATCTCACCGTTTCTTCTAAATCGATAGCTCTGTTTCTGGTGAATACTCGTACATATTATACCATTAGCTCCTGTCCTGGAATAGAATCCACACGTAAGAATTGTTTTGATATTTTGTACCATAATTCAGTCTAGATAAAACAGACGCCACAGTTTTTATAAGGCTAGTACCACCTACCTCAGCCTTTAAGAGAAGATGAAACTCGGAGGGACTCTGAGCGAGATATATATAATGGATAGAATTTTCATAACTCGCGACATATATCCTCTGATAAGTCTCGCAAAATTGATCGAACTAAATAAAACTCCTCAGATATGAAGTTAGGTTGTAAACCAACCAAGATCCTCACGCTATCAACTTCACCTGTCGCGATAGAGTATATTCCTAGCATTCTGAATAGCTTCGAAGAAAGAGTTGTCTGATGAAAGAGATGACGATAGCTGTATTTTATAGGGACGGGGTTTATACTTTGAAGTGTATGTTGGAAGCTGCGGGTTTCCAAGATGTTACTGTAGGGAGATCAGGCGTGGATACTCACATTCTACCGTTCAAGAAAACAAATCTTCTTACTGTAAGATTACCATTTACGGTTCGAGAATATACTGCAGCTATTAGATGTGATAACATACAGTTTTAATCTTTGTAGGTAAGGGATTTCGAAAGGTCCCCCCTTTTTCCCTTTTTCAAGCGATGGGCGAGGAGTAAGAACTAGAAAAAACAGCCAAAGAAAGAATAGCAAAATTGCGACACCTATATTGGGCCAGAATGGCCGCAAGTTGGGGAAGGGACATGAAAAGAGCTAAAAGATCCTGAAACTCACAGCGATATGCTAAATGTTCTTCAAGTAACCACCCTCTGGGTGTTATGGTGGGGATCAAGGAATAGATTGTTCGCAAGGAGGGAAGAGAGACGCTCTTCGCACTCCTTAGGTATTTGTCTATCTACGGAAGGGTACACCCGCAACTTCGCTAAGCGAACCCTTATTCACTAAATCAAAAACTGT